TATATCTGATTATTACTACTGGTTTATACAACAGGATATCTAGATGACACTAATACTAGTACATTTTACAATCAATTGGGGAGAGTAGTACTACAAATTAGCTGATAGCAATCAAATACTAATAACAAGCAATAACAACAGGCTCTCTCTCTCTCTCTCTCTCTCTCTCTCTCTCTCTCTCTCTCTCTCTCTCTCTCCCTCCCTCCCTCCCTCTCTCCCTCCCTCCCTCCCTCTCTCCCTCCCTCCCTCCCTCCCTCCCTCCTCTCTCTCTCTCTCCATTCTCTTTTCCTCCCAATTAAACAAACAGTAATTTCAGGTAGTAAGTAATTCATTTGTACCTCTGGTGCAATGTAGTCTGGTGTCCCACAGAATGTTCTCGTCCTATTGTCAGCATTAATACCATCCTTACATAAACCAAAATCAGCAATCTTAATGTGACCATCAGCATCTAGCATCACATTGTCTAGTTTGAGGTCACGATAGACTATCCCCTTCTCATGGAGATAGTTTAGACCAATGACAATCTCTGCAGCATAAAACCTTGAAAGAGAGAGAGAGAGAGAGAGAGAGAGAGAGAAGTAAAAGAAAAGGAGCTAAAGGTCATTATAAGGTACATAAGATATACATGCCTCATGTAAAAAGATAAAAAAAAATAAACATAAAGAAAAGGATGACAACATTAATGTAGAATTATAGTGTCTGAATCAGAGAAGGAAGGTAGTCGAGCTATACACACACGGACTGTACAAGAAGAGAAAGGAAGTGCCAAGTAATATACAAACAAAGCTACATATATACTGTATACATGTACTGTAGGTGCAGAATAATAAATATTGAAAATATTATAATGTTCATATGTTTACATGTACATGTACATGTACATACCGTGTCTGATTCTCAGGGAATTTCCCAAACTCTAATATATGGAACATGAGGTCCCCTCCACTCACAAACTCCATCACAAAGAAGAGATGCTCTTTAGTCTGGAAGCAAGAGTGAAGAGAAGTAAGGAAAGGCGGCTTTCCCTGGAGTGCCAGGACTTTCCTCTCGTTAAGTGTACACTCCACGTCGTCCTCCTGAACTATGAGGTCTTTCTTGAGACTCTTAATGGCATAAGTCTCCTTTGAGCCTTTGTGCTCAGCCAAGAACACCTAAGGATACACTACTGTTAACTTATGATGAACTAATGTAACACCCAGAAACTGAATTACAATGAAGCAGTGAGTATCAATGTTATACAGTAAATGTAGCAACACTACTCTTTTAGTAGCTACGCTGTAGGGGATTTACCAAACGATAGAATAATGCGTATACAAATAATTTGTATTAGTACATACATTCTTTCATTTAAGTAACATATTCAGGAAAAGATAACTAATGGTATAAAATATCATGTCTCTATAAAACTATGTGCATGCACACACACCTACACATACATACATGTACATCTCTCTCTCCCTCCCTCCCTCCCTCCCTCCCTCTCTCTCCCTCTCCCTCCCTCCCTCCCTCTCTCTGTCTCTCTCTCTCTCTGTCTCTCTCTCTCTGTCTCTCTCTCTCTGTCTCTCTCTCTCTGTATCTCTCTCCGTCTCTCTCTCTGTCTCTCTCTGTCTCTCTCTCTGTCTCTCTGTATTATTATCATTATACATGTACATGGTCCATTACCTTTCCAAAGGAACCTTTTCCCAGTACAACAAGGAGTTTAAAGTCATCCAGCGTCATCCTAGGCAAGTCTTTAGATCCAGGTGCTAGTTGCGAGCCACGTCTTAGGTCCAGTGCTTCAATGTCTGCTTTAAGTGTAGCCACTTTATTAGCTCTTGTTGTCTTCCTATACTCATCTATGAGCTGCAGAGAAGGAAGTTAATATCATGAGCTAGTGTATTCTAATGATATCTCAGTACATGTGAGAGAAAGTACCCCAGTATGATATGAAAGAGAGAGAGAGAGAAAGGAGAGAAAGGGGGGAGAGGGAAGAAAGAGAAAGAGAGAGAGGAGAGAGAGGAGAAAGAGAGAGAGAGAGGAGAAAGAGAGAGAGAGAGAGAGGGAAGAAAGAGAAAGATGCCAAAGTGTCTCAACATACACAAGCACACGTACAATAATAACTGAATGGACTATAATGTTCAATGTATATCGTCCAATTGTACACAGTAAAACTCGTTAGTGAATACTCGAGGAAAATACTCCAAAATTAACATGTTGACAAAATAGAGCATCTTAGAGTTGGGTTTTGTCAACAATTAACTCCTTCACTGCCAACAATGATACAAACAATGTAACAAGAAGAAAGAGCTAGACTATGGCATATCTTTAATAGTCACTACCGTATAATGGATTATATAATGTGTGCTCATTTCTGAGAATCTGATAGCATAATTACCCAGTACATGGCTCAGAAATACACATTATTATGATTATTATTATTATTATAGTGATTAGTGAGAATACTGTTATTGTCAGCCTTGCAATGGTGCACGGATAAACAAGGACAAACACTATGAAATAAAACTAACTGTGAAAGGAACACAGGATGAAGGAAGAGAAGGAATAGAAACACCTTCAACTCAGTAAGGTACACTACAACAAGCACATGTACATCCATTGAATGCATAAAGTACAGTTTAACATAATGTACATGTACACGTGTATTAATTGTGAAATGTACAATCTACTAAGATGCAGAGTGGACTCCTGACAGTGTATAGTTTAAACTGTGAACATAACACTTAAGATACATGGACTGTGAACTGTGAGGTCCACTCCAAAGGTCAATGTTAAGTTATTACTTTCTCTGCTTCTTCATCTGATATTATCCTGATACTTTTCCTTCGACTGATGTTGTCACCGAGGAGTTTGTACCAGCTCTCGATCCGTTGTCCCTCGCACGTTTCGGTTATAATGTCGTTCACTTTGAGACCCATTCCGCCAATGAAGTCGTTGCTACCGATACGATCCCAATCCCATACTGCAACATAGACAAAGTTATTGAGATCCTGCTCAGACACATCACTATAAAGAACAATAATAATAATAATAACAATAATAATAATAATAATAATAACAATAATAATAATAATAATAATAATAATAATAATAATAATAATAATAATAATAATAATACTTTCTTATTCATAATAATAATAATAGACAAAGAAAGGAAAGAGAATATAAAGTGAAAGAAACAGGAGAGACATCCACAATGTACATGTACACAGTATATGTAATGCCTATTACACTTACAAAAAGAAACTTTCATCGAACTTGGGGTCAAGTGTCTTCTCCCTTCTTTCTGTTTTCTGTTTCATTGAGGATTTGTCTTTACCATCACTGTCAAGCAACGAGACCTTTACAAAAGGATCAGCTAAACCATTCGGATCCATCGGAGGAAGATTACGACACTCTATGACTATATGTATAATATAAAAGAACACATAAATAAATGTAAATGTATGTACGTACACGCAGAAATGTAAACAAAACAACGAAATGGATAAACAAATAATATTTAGCATTCTATGAAAATAGACACATTAGTACAATCACACACACACACACACACACACACTCCCTTGTCACGTACTTTCAATATTAATTCTCCAGTTATTCTCTGTGGATCTCTGGGTATAAAACCCGACCTTGATCCTCCCTCTCTTTTCCTGTGTGTCCTGCCCACAGGCTCGTGGGACGAGGGCCTGGCAGCGGTGGTGAGCCGTCATGCCACAGTCGGAACACCGGACCCCCTGATTAAACAGGCCGTATATCATTGAGCCACAGTGGGCACAAAATGTTGGATGATAGAAGGAAGCCGTTTTGAAAGTATGGGGACGGGGTTCCTGTGAGATAAAGAAATAGAGTTAATTATGTATCTGTCCTTTCTCTCTCTCTCTCTCCTCTCTCGTACCAGTCCAGCAGGTAAGCTAGTTCCTGGACAAATAAAGGAGACATATTCAAGACAGCGTCTGTGTATGGTGAAGTCGCAAGCTGGAGGAGAAGAAAAGAACTTGTAAAATGTATCAAGAGAGAAAGAGATAAACATGACTTACAGAGGCAGCGATAACCTTGCGGGCCAGTGAGTCCCCTAGTGAAAGAGAAGGAGGGAGAGAGAGGGGGTGGTTTTGAAAAAGGAGAGAAGAAGAGGAAAAATGTCACACAGGTCAATGCTACAGTAGCCATTGACTCACCATAAAAAGCGAGTGCAGTGTCCACAGAAAGTAAACTGTTTGAAGTAGGTGAGGACAAACTTGTGGCCCTTTATCTCGACTACCTTGCCTTGTTTGACTGCGTTTCGACGCTTGGGACGACGAACAGGAGATCCCTCAGCCATGACTGGGCTAGCAACTGCAAGTACTAGGGCTAGTTGTGATAATTACTGCTGATTCCAGCACAGACCCTGGCGAGTACAGAGTCTAGAAAGAATATAATCTCGTGTGCCTAGTTGATATACCTTCTTATGGATGTTGGATTGGATCTCCCACGAAAATAAGAAGTACACGTGACTGCCCGTTACCCTAGTGACCATCACCATGGATACTTTTCATTGGTAATCATTTTGATTGAGGGTACATGATTCTACTCTTCATAGCAAACCTACAAGTAAAGTACCTATCTATTTTTGCATCAAAAGTCTGTGTCTTGTTTTAGCATGAGCAGACTATATGATGCAGCAGAGCCAACAGTTATAGATGAGAAACTTTTGAGGTCTTTAATACTGGAGCAGGGTCCTAATGGAGAGGCAGGCAAGATAATAGAGAAGGAAGGAGTTGAGTTTCATGAAGTACTTGAGATAAGAATAGACTTCAAAAGTAAGTCACAAAAAGGAGAGAGTCTTTGTAATCATAGAATTGATTATTGTTGTGTACATTAATATTCTTTGGCTTCCATTGTATGTTGTCTCTATCCCTTGGCAACGGTATAAGCCTTGGCAGGAGGAACATGATTATATCATTATCACATTCTTATAATCAAGCAACACTACACGTACATGTAGTTTAATCATGCCTTGCAGGTAACATTATAATCAATATGGTGTTTTTTCCATTAAAGATGTGCAACACATTGAGAATCTTTGGCAGTTACAGAACCTGGTCAAATTGAGACTAGATAATAATATAATTGCAACAATTACTGGCCTTGATCAACTGGTACACTTGGAATGGCTAGGTAATTGAGCTAGTTTTAATCTAACAGCAATGTAATGATACTCTCCTTCTTCCCTCTCTCCCTCTCTCTCTAGATCTTTCCTTCAATAATATCACAACTATAGAGGGCATTGATAAGCTCGTTAAATTGAAGGATCTCTCTCTTGCTCACAACCTAATTAAAGAGGTTGGCGGTCTCTCAACTCTCACTAGCCTACAAGTCTTGTCACTCGGCTACAACAAACTCCACAATCTCAACTCTACGTCTCGATATCTTCGTAAACTCTCGTCGCTTCAGACACTTTGTTTAAAAGGGAACAAGTTCAGTCGAGTTCCTGCTCATTCTGGGAACGAGACAGAGGAAGAAGCATACAGGTCCTATCAGATGAACTGCATTGCATTCATACCATCATTAGTATACCTGGACTATCAAATGATACTACAAGAAACAGTAAGAGTGCATAGCTAGTACACATCACAGTGCATAGAATATGAGGAATATTTAGGGCAAGTCCTGCTATAATTATCATGTAGTGCATTTAAGAATTTCATGTGTACTTTGTATAATGAAACATTAGTCATTTTAGTTTGAATACAGAATCCATTATGTTTAATGCATGTACATATACAGTGCACTATGTCTCTATAGTCTACTATCAAGAGTAAATAATACCTACAGAGAGTATCCAACGGCCCCATCTCAGCTGCTGCAAGTGTGTGGATTTCTAGGAAGTCACGTTCAGGATACTTCTGTATATTATCAATGAACAACACATCTGTATGAACATTGATTGAAAACTACTGAAGTATGCGGAACATGACTTCCTAGGAATCCACACACTTGCAGCAGGCCTCAATAGGGCCGTTGGATACTCTCTGTAGGTATTATTTACTCTTGCTACTATTCATTTGTTTCTTTTCTGCACACACAAAAACACATTATGATATAGCGAGCATTAGCCTTGGAGCAGCACAAGGAAGATCTTGACGAAATTCTGAGGAATGAGAGAGAAGAGAGAGCAAAGAAAGAAGAGAATAATGCTATACAAGCAATAAAGCAACAGCACACAGTTAGTTTTATGTTACATAACAATTATCATATTATAGCTACATGTACGTTCTACTGTATAATCCTGTCTCTGTGTGGCTCAATTAGCGTGGTATTATATGTTAATTTTATGTAGAACCATGTATGTCCTTTATCGTAAACAAAAATTATAACTATAGCATCAAAGAAGTACAAATATTCATATTGTATTACACAGATGCATCATCATAGTTCCAATTGACAACAGCAAATATGTACAGTCCACTATCAGTGTTTGTTCCATCACTCTTACATGTATATGTATTTGTTGGACAATGAAGTTAGCAATTTCCTCTGTTTCAGCTTGCTTATGTTGATGGCCTTGAACAAGATGAATTCTTCCATTCCTTATTTGAGGATGACACAGAAGCCTCAAGACTTGAACTGCTACCAGGAGAGAAGGAAAGACTAGAAGAGTGAGTCTTTAGGCATGCATGTACATGTACACAGTAAAAGTACATACTGTACATGAAAAGATGGTATACTTAAATGGAGTGTATTATATGTACTTATATTTCATAAGGTATTGTCAAGAGGTTGTGAAAATATCCAGTGATATAGTGTCTATTGGATTAGAAGAAGAGAAGAAGAGAACTAGAGAGAGAGAGCTGTTCCAATCAGCGTATCAAAAAGCGCTGGAGTTGAATCAAAAATCCTCATCTGATCTGATACAGAAATACGAAGAAGATAAAGCAAAGGCAAGTATAGAGATTTTTAGCTACATGAAGCTAATTACCTTCCTCATCTTCTTCTTAAAATGATTTCTCAGCTATTAAACGATCACCAGATTGATACACTAGGAGAAAAGATAAGCAAGCTCCATCACGACGTAATGACACTAGAAATGCAACTAGTAGATCAACTAGAGGTAAGAAAAGTACATGTACACTTTGCATGTACATGTACATTGTTATTTTAATCATTTGAATTACATGTACTTCTTATTGTGTAGGATATTAGTAAAGAATTTGAAAGGAACTACACTGACATGGTCAGTCATATGATAGAAGGAGTACAGGCAAAGTTAGTATAATTATCCTATACACACACATAATAGACGTCACTATCTTAATCTACATGTACATGTACCTGTCGACATAATATCATTGGGTGGCATAATCTTTTGTTGTCATTGTACACATATGAAGTGCTCTTCACTGCCAGGATTGTGTGTAGTAATGAGTGTCTGTTTTCATTAGCCTTCAATCTGATGAGAATTTGTCATTTTGCAGTATATCCAGTATGTATGACACTCTAGAAGATATCCTAAATCACTTTAAAGAAAGTGAATTATAGAATGACAGTTTCAAGCTGTATTAAACAATTGCAATTGGAATTTGACACATAATGTGGATCAATCACTTCATTGAAGCTGTTTTCTTTCATTGGGACAGACCTACTCTAATTATTTGATCATGAACAGAGGACAGCAATCTTTAAGTCAGGGCCTATTGATTTGAAATTGTCACTTGTACCGGTATGTCAGACAAAAATAATACATGCAATAATGGGGTGTGGTCACAAGTCAATTAATAGTGGTGGGCGATACTGGCCAAAATGGATTCGATACGATACCGATCGATATCAGCTCATATCGAGAGTATCGATACAGTTTCGATACAATATTTAGACCACACCTATGGAGTCACACCCCTTATTATTGACTGTTTTCATCGATGTTTTCATGCACGTGTATCCACGTGTGTGTATTTACGTCATTAACTTATTAAAATTTTCATTATTAATATTATTTAACCATAATATATGGGCGTGGTCAATGTATCGATCCAGATTCCTTCAAAATTTCGATACTGATACGAATCGATACCGTAAAATATCGTTTGTATCGATAAAATATCGATATATCGCCCACCACTATCAATTAATAATAAAATGGCGAGGAATCAAGACAAACTTTCATGAACTTTGACTTTCCTCTCGGCTTATCTAACAGCAAGATAAGAGAGAGAAGGTTCTAAAATATCTCTAAAGGCTATCCCACCAGCTCTGGAAAGTATGGCGACTTAAGTAAACTCTATAAGAATCTTTTTTGTGAGCTTTAGGTTCAGCGGCTTCGCTGGCTTGTGACCTAGCTTGTGAATGATGATTCTTTTGTTTCAGTTGGTCCTGACAAGAAGTTAGCTTTGGTTCTTAGAATGAAACGCGCCTTGAGTTGAAGTCAGCCGAGCCAGTCCAATTAGTACTAGTATGGTAATATAAGGCATTTACACTGTATATAATGGAGTATTGTAATGACCCTTAGTATGTGTAGGTGAAAAAATCACGTGCTGTTGCGCAAGCGCGCGGTGGCCTAGTGGTTACAGGGGTGGGCCCGGCCTTGAGGCAAGAAGGTCCTGGTTCGAATCCCCGAAACCGCATTTGTAGACTTTCCTTGTAAGTTCTTTGGTAGGTATTCTTGTAGGCACTAGATAGGTATAAGCCGTGGCTGGCTTCAGTGGCATGCAATTACATGTAAGTACAGTACACGTACTAATATAGTATGCATACAGAGCTTACATTATAATGCACACACAGCTTCAGACTACATTACAGGTCTGTACAGTGCTGGTGACACACTTCCATTGGCTACCATTCCTCATAGAGTGCACGCTATGAGTACTGGTAGTCCGTGGGGGAGTGCCATTGGTACTGTATAGATCTGTAGAGCTTATCATGCAATTGTGTATACATACATGAAGCCTCATACTTAATAGTAATATACACACAGAGCCTTTACATGTACTTAAATAGTAACATATACATACAGAGCCTCATACACACATACACACACGCCAATTTTTTTCTTTTTTTTATAATCAGAATACATTATATTGTTGTGGTTTAGGATGACACAGCTCAGAGAATATGAGAAGAATCATCACGAAACCGTCCTAGAACTATCAACACAACTAATGGAGAGCTACAGCAAAGGTCTATTAGAGGAAGAACTACCTGATGGGCTGAGAGTTGTGAGTATTTTTATCATTAGAAATTAGTCTGAAAACACATTATCCATCATTGTGTATTAACGTGTAGTTATTTGCTGACAAGGACACATTGCTGAGTGCTATCAATGCAGCACATGATGTGCACATGCAAGTGATTGACAACAAGGTCTCTCTCTATATAATTTTATACTCTAAGTAAACATGTACATGTATGTGTAGGAGGACAGCATAAGGGGAAGAGGAGAGAAAGACAAGAAGAATTTATTAGATGGTTTGACACAAAAACTACATAAAAGAAACAGAGAGAGAGTGACAGAGATAAGTCATTTTATTGATCTACAACATGACGAGTTGGAGGATTGGCTAGGAACAAAAGAACAATGAATAATTAATTAATAATCTACATACATAATACTCACTATAACAAAACTAATAAATTATTATTATTTCAAAAAATATATTAAGTATAATTATTTCTGTCTATTTCTTATAATAATTTTATTTCTGAAATGAATAATGTCATTAAAATCATTAAGTTTAAAATCTTTCATAACTTGCTTCACAGAGCAGTATCAATGGTGGCTGGGGAGATTGGATCAGGAGTGTGTGGTGATAGGGGCATCTCTGGGGCTTCACTGCTAGCCTTACTGAGGAGATGAGAGCGACGCTTTATCACTTCAGAGAGAGGCAACTTCTGTTCAGTTGTATCCCTAGTCTCGGCCAACTCTTGGAGTGCATCATTAAGATTGCCAACAATGTGAGTAACATTCGCTCCTTCCTATTAATAACATAATAATAATTATTATTGCTCCTTTTCTTATTTGACAATAATAAAGCAATATTATGTATTAAATGGCAGAGTTTCACTGACCAAAATGAGCTGCTTCTTAATGAGAAGGAACCTAGCCTCTCTGGCCTTTAGAATAACATAAAGGGCATAACACGAGAGACTGTGCATGTGTGTGCATTAATGTAGGAGAGAGAGAAAAATATTAATATTAATGTTTAATGGATTAGACTGTAGGCATACACTAGTATGATGATGAGTGGGACAATGAAAGCTGAAGAGGTGAAGAAATCCACAACAATCCTAGCAGTACACGTGCCGCCATCAATAAGATTAGTGAGAGACTGATACATAGTCTCTTGCCCTCTGGAATAAAAAGATTTTAATACTATACATGCGTACCAGTGTAAATATATACAAAATCATCAAAATTTGCGTACACAAGGCCATTAAAAATTGCCAATAAATTTGAAGCATAAGGCATCAACTTTTAAGTTAAATGTTACCTGAAAGGGCCACAAGATTCACTGGGCCTCAATCTAGAGAGAAAGAAAGAGAGAGGGGGGGTTTATCACAAATTCAAAATGATATCCTCTTACTGGATAGCAGCGTACATAACAGGTACAACAGAAGCAAAGAGAGCAAGCAGCATGAGGAAGAGGAAGATAAAATTAGTCCTGGCTGATCTTTGAAATCCTTTCTTGTCTGGCTCAAGGTTCCATATCAAGCTATACTTCTTCACATAGAAGAGAAGTATTGATGTTATGAGGACAATGAATGGAAGCAGAGGAGCAAATAGGAATCCCAGCCAGAGAAGCGACTGAGTGTAAATCAGATCCAATATGCTCTTTGGTATGTTGAAGTTTCCTTTGGTCACAAAACGGCTGAACTTCTCTCCAAGATTCTTCCATTTGAGGTGAACAATGACATGAGAAGAGAAACTAAAAATAAAATAAATAATGTTATCATAAACAGCATTAAAAACACAACCTTATAAGTAGATACACCACCTACATGTACCTGAATCAATCATTAACAATATGTACGTGTACATGTGAAATTGAGTAATTGAAAGTGAAAGTTTGTGCTTTGATATGTAAATCATGTGAAATTCCTCCTGTGTTATTGTTATTAAGGGGAGGCTATACTGTTTCCTGCGGGATAATAATTGTTATTCAATCTCTCTTACTGCCTTCCACTCTCAACGAGGATTGTTGAGATGATAGAGACAAAGAGATTAGTCACTCCCAATTTGTAGAACTGCTGGCCAATAAATGTCTCCCAACACTATAAACAGATATAATATTATACATGTAGTATATGCATGTATTGTGTGTGTGGACTCACTTGAGGGCAGGTCTGAGTAATGTTAAGTGAAGTGTTGGTGAATGTGTTGGCAATTGAGCTGATGGTACACTGATCTCCAGTCTCCACAACTGGTTGAATGCATTCCGTTATCACCAGAAACAAGGAACCAAGCAATACAATGAGTGAAGACAGTCTCACCATTACAGTCCTATACAAAACAAAACATGTAGCGTCATAATGTATGTATTTTGCTCCAAAATGGTGAAAACAATCATAGGAATATTCTTATACTGTTATGCTTGTTATAAATACATGTCCTTATGTTATGTAGAAAGTTTGAGTTGATTCCAATCACTATTGGATTTTTTATGAATTTTAAAAGTTATTTGAAAGCCACGTAAGCCCATTCCTCAAATAGCCCAAAGTATCACTTGAAAGCACTAATAACAGCTAATTTAAAAATACAATTATCAGACGCTGGTGATTATAAATTTTCATTTAAGACTCTAAGTGTAACAAAGGTGGAATTCACACCTGCCTTCTGTTTTGTATAGCAACCTTATACTAAAACCAATTTTCTTATCTAATAGGACAAACAAAGAGAGAGCGGCTGTTACAACAAGACATTAGTACATGAGGGCAGCTGCAGAGAGAGACACGTGCCATTACCCAGCACTTGAATGACACGTGCTCCTCTTATACACATTATATAATGGCTGTCCACAAGAAGGAATAAAGAATATAAAAGTGCAATAATGCTCTTTATAAACCTTATCAGTGTAATCCTAACAGCACCAGTGCTGGTCTTGTATTGCTCCAACTTAGCAACAAGTTGGAATACAAGTGGAAGAATGGCATTGAGTATACTTATGACAATGGCAGAGAGGTATTCACCAATCAGTGGTATTTCAACTCCAGCTTGCAACTGAGAAAGAGAAGAAAGAAGAGTAAGATATACTACATTCTTTATAACTTACAATCTGAAGCTCATATGCAGCTGAAAAGTAAATGGCAAATCCTGCACCAACCAAGGTCATAAGGACAAAAAAATTAGTCCAAAATCGAATAACAATAACAAGGGCAAGCTTCTTGTTGCTTCTCTTCACCTCTCTAGCTTGTAAATCCAAAAGCTCTTCCTACAAAAGCAGACATGAATCACACATAACAATAAAAGCTGATTACATCACTACTATTATAACATTAAATAAATAATAATATTAAATCATTCATATTATTTAATTTACATGGAATTCGGTCCGAATATGAGCCTGTCTCAATTTGGCTGTCTTTGGATCGGTGATGTTAAAGTCCCAAGCAGTGAAGAGCTTGTTGCAGAAGTTGATCTTCCTAGTGCTACCAAACTCGACATAGCTCTCATTGAAAGCATGACCCATTCTAAAAATAGCCAAATAACAGTTATAAAAAATAATTAAAATATACATGTAGATAAAAGCATCAAATAATGAATATAAAAATAATAAAAGGCATTATTGCAGAGATAAAGATATTTTTAAAAGTAATAATGCAAGCTCATCAAAGTGCTACGCCTGCTCTGCTGTAGTTGAATGAAACCTGATCTTTGCTATAATGTGTCAAAAAGTATTGAAATTCTATACAAATCTAAGGAAATAGAAAATTGAATGAAAAGTCTGCTAATTTTGAGAATGCAATATGAACAGTCCCTCCTGGTCCATAATGGTTATCTGTTGTCATCACACACCCTCTAGCTATAAACACGTTACTCATATTAGTAATCAAGGAAAACAGTGAAAGTAGAATGATGACAGAAAAATAAAATTGAGACTATACAACATCAGTGGAGAAAGGGTTTGCAAAGGAAAAGGAGAGAAGAGAAAAAAGCTTCAAATACTTAGCATAGCAATAACTTAACAGTCGTAACAATATCATAACTCAACGTAAAGTTATGCAAACGCAACAAACAAAATTTAAGAGTTGAACTTACTTGTATACTAATAAAAGAACAGCAACAACGTATATAACAGCTGTCATGAAAAGAAAAGCAAGAGACAAGTCGTATCGGCCAACTTTAGAGCTATACACTCCGTGAAACAAAATAGTCTCGTTGAAAAAACCAGTTCCGGAGATAAAATCAAGGATGTGCTGATACCACTCAACCCTGGCCTTAACGCCAATGCAGACTGAATAAGACGTGATATTATTGCCAGCGTTTCTATCAATAACTTCACAAGAGCTATCAATTAGTTCGGGGGAGACAACTAGCTCGTTTCCTCCTTCGCCCGTAGCAATGCCATTCCCAACATTGCATTCCCTGATCCTAATGATCCCCAGCATCATGTCACCATCGCTTTCTTGCATCAATAGACAGTTAACAGGAGCAGAAAAAACAGTAGCAGTGGTTCGATTCAAGGACTCATTGGAGCACCTCATATCAGTGAGGGGTTGTTCCAGTACGCATGTGATGTTAGAGACTTGATTGACGCTGTTGCTACCTTGATAGACAAACTGTGGTATACAGATCATGCCAAACCAAAGGAGGAAGATGAGGACATTCATTATGAATATCCAACGGAGGAAAACAAAGTAAGAGACGACTGTAGTCCCAAAGAGACCCTCGACCTCTTTCAAGTGACCTTTCCAGAGCTCTTGGGATGCAATGACTTGAAGACGACTCTTAATCTTAGGCCATTTCTGAGCAGGAGAGAAGGAGGAAGAGACAAAGGAAGGGATTACAAATGACACTTTGTATAACTTACCACGTGTCTCAGGTCATCCCAGCAGCTAGTCCTCACTCCACGCTCATAAACAACAGTTTGTTTTCGACTGCAAATAAAGAGAGATTGGGAGATAAAGGTGTGATGTGATCATGACCTTAATAAATTATGCATACATTATCTACAATGACTGCAATATGTAGAACAGTGTGTGTGTATGTATGCACATTGTGTTAATTATCACTTATTAATTCATACCGTTCTGCAAGTCGATGCCTCAGCAAAGCAGAAGACTTCCTTAGGTCTTCGTTACGCTGAAACACAGTGTCTCCTTCGACTTCAATATCAGTTATTATTATATCGCTTGCTATTGTCGGCTGTTGTTGAGTACGCTCCTTCATTAGCTGGTGGCCATGAAGTGATCTTGACCTTCTGTTCCCTGTCTTCACTCGCAGAGATTGCTCCGAGGCCTTTCTCCTCACTGTTGAAGGTAGGGACCATCTTGAAGCGTCGCCTCTGTCTATTCCACCACCAATTGTTCCCCCAGCACGTGCAGCTAAGACAGCTGGGCGAGTATCCAGAACATCTCTTACTATATCCTCCAGTTTGACGGCTTTCTGTGGAGTCTGGGGGTCAGGCTGATTAGAAACGGACTCCAAGTCCTCTATCTCTGTCGGGAACTGGTTTACATGGATGGAATCCATAGTTCGGCTGTTTTATACAAGTAAACACAAAGAGAATTCGATATCCAATTCCTCCAAACCTTCCAAAATAGAGATGGGTGTAGTAGTGAACGTGACAAAGTGCAACTTAATTATATTCATAGTCTATTTTGCTGATTATCATTTTTATAACTTAATTATTAACTTCAGTAACAACAACATGGCCGCTTTTATCGAGCACGGAAAGCAAAAGTTGTGGATCATGAACTCGTCCGTACTTGAGACTGTACAGGTACTTCCCGTTGGAAAGAGTTTGAAGTGTCTTTATTGCAGATTTCGGTGAATTATTGTCAGAAAATGGCACCAGTTCCTTCAAATGCAGCTCCAAATCTCTGCGACGTCCGAGGAAATCCATGTGTGAAACCCGGACCGATTCTGTCTTCTTACAGTAAGCCAGTTCTCCAAGGACCTTACTGAAAGCATAACTGAGGGTGCATAGAACTAGTACAGTTCCTGTGGCTGCGGTATATCCATTGATCAGTGACTTGCTGCTGATGGAACCAATGTAATACCAGTAAGAGAGTGGAGGCATGGCGATCAACATGGCTCCTGCTTGGTAGAGTTTGAAACGAGAAAGGACCCTGAAATATGACATTGTGGGCCACTTATACAAGACCACATAACTTTTACTATCATTGGAATTCCTTCTGTATGATAAAATTCGACAGACACAGCTTCTAGGCAGAGTAGAACCGAACAGAAATTTAGGCAAGGTTGACGCCGACATTCCTGCAGGGAGGGTGTGGTTTCACAACACGTGGTTTACCGTATACTAAAACCTATTTGTTAGTGATAAGAAAAATCAGAACCTACTGTTTCAAATCCACGTCAGTCATTGACTCATTGTTCCTATCCGTGACAAAGCCGCGGGTAACGAGCCGGTTTGTTGTTTAGTGTGACAAGGAAAGACAAGGCAACATGAACATCTTTAGGCTTGCTGGAGACATCTCTCATCTACTGGCCATTTTTATTTTGCTGATCAAGATATGGCGGAGCAGGTCGTGTGCAGGTAAGAAGGTGTGATGATAATGATTACTGAGGTGGTGGGGTGGGGTGAGACAGATGTCATTACATTAACACACACTGTTAGATTTTTAAATGCTTTGGTATGCATGTCTTTACTGCATGGCTGGCCATGTGAAGTTGCCTACAGGGAAGGGGGAATTTTGACTTTTGAGGCAATCACGATTTCCTGTACAAAATATACTCCCTCCCTTACATGTTCTAAAAGAGTGGTACCCATACAAATTAGAGTACCCCTGATTCAAACTACCAGTATTGTAGCCTTCTCAATGTTCATAGATTAATTTAATTCAGCTATAATGTAATTTAATGCATTGCTTAATAAATAATGTATAATTAGTTTGCTTTGGATTGACATCATTAAGTATTTTGGAGGGCAAGAACTTGTATAAATGGTTCGTTTATTTGTTGAGACTATTGGCCATTGAGGAGGAGTTCAATGTAGTCAGGGCTAGATCATTATTAGTATTATTGTTGTGTTTATCTTTGTATTGTTTTTTTATATTGATACGTTAGTAGCTATTGTAATAGAAGGTAGAGACCAACTATTATTATTATTATTATTATTATTATTATTATTATTATTATTATTATTAGTATTGTGAACTATTCTTTTTATTATTATAGGTATTTCTGGTAAAAGTCAAGTCTTATTTGGTATGGTCTTCCTGACTCGCTATCTTGATCTGTTCACTAGCTTCATATCAGTCTACAACACTGTTATGAAAGTTATTTTTATACTGGCGACACTTGTCACAATTTATCTCGTTTTCTTTAAGTTCCGGGCAACCTATGACTCCAACAACGACACATTTAGAGCGGAGTTACTCGTCATACCGATAGCTGGTCTTGCAGTTCTAGTAAATCATGAGTTTAGCCTGTTTGAGGTAAGTCTTTATGTATACACACTACCAGCATGTTTTGTAATGGCGTCGCTTATAAAAGACTTTGGTATGAAGTTTATTTTATTGCAATGATAATGATTATATGAAGCAACCCCTTCAGTTTGTCTTCTCACCCCCTCACTCTATCCCCCCCCCTCTCCTCCTCCTCCTCTGATAGATCCTGTGGACTTTCTCTATTTATCTCGAGTCAGTCTCCATCATGCCTCAGCTGTACATGATATCAAAGACTGGAGAGGCAGAAACCATCACCTCTCATTATCTCTTTGCCCTCGGTCTCTATCGAGGACTCTACATAGTGAACTGGGTCTGGCGCTACTACACGGAGCAGTTTTACGATTGGATTGCGATAGTTGCTGGTGTTGTCCAAACCCTTCTCTATTGTGATTTCTTCTACCTCTATATCACCAAAGGTGAGCCAGTGAAAGAACAAGCTTATATAATACTGCTGCGGTTTTAAATGCAAATTTAGCATTCTTTGGCATTCTTAATTGTTACCGGTATTTGATGTTTTTTTTCTCTTTAGTTATCAAAGGGAAAGAGATGTCGCTACCTGCATAGTCCTCCTACCTCCTGTCATTGACTAGTAATTGTTATTATTATTATTATTATTACTATTATTATTATTATTATTATTATTATTATTATTATTATTATTATCTTTTTTCCTTTAAAGTATGTACAGTTGTTGGAAGACATCTTGTTAGGGCACGTTTTTGAATTTTTTTCATGAAGTCATGATGCATATTTAGTTACTTGTTTGAAAAAATTGATACGCATAGAAAAAGAATACACAAAACTCTTGGAAATTTCATCATCATGAATGACTTTATATTAATTTATTATAGCCACACCTACCTAGGCCTAGTCACGAGTTTGGGTGTGGCTTGCAAGTTGTAACTCAGCAAAGCAGAAAGTCAATAGAGATGGGTCAAGCGAGTCCTAAGCTTGTCTCCTGGGCAGCTCAGGACGGGAGACCAGAAGATTTGATATATCACTTGGATAAGACAGGTCCAGAGGGTCTGAAACCAGCCTCGGGGGCTGAGAAGCAGAGGACCCCACTCATTCTATCAGCCATTGGCGGACACACTCAATGTATTAGTATATTATATGATGCAGGTAAAGGAAAGACACCCTTCCTTCTCACTCGTTATCCTTACTGTAGGTGCTAAATTAGACGATAAAGATACTGACGGTTTCACTGCCCTACATCACGCAGCTAGTAATGGACACCTTTATGCTGTGCAGCTCTTGCTGGATCTTGGGGCCAACCCAATGGCATCTTCAAGGTTATTTCATTTGTCATGATGCTAGCTGTAACTTTTTATGTCACAGAATCATGATTGCATAATCCCTCACATAATCTTAAGAGTTGTATAACAATGAAACCTGAACATGTGATGTCATATAATTATTCATAAAATTAATGTTTCATTTCACTCTCTCATAGACAAGATCTAATGCATGTTTTTTGCTAAAATAATACTAGTAATGATTATTATTACTGTGAATAGTGTCCTTCATGTTAGCAGCATGTACTACACACAATGTGTTTGTCATTGCTGACTTGTATGCACCGCCATCACCCCAAGAGGCATTTGAAAATACTTTTAGTGAAACTTCTTTTAATTGAAAATGCTTATGTACTGTAGTATTAGTTGATAGCATAATCATGGTAGTAGGATAACAATTTTTGGATGCTAATGATATGAATTTTCTAATAATTATTAAACCAGGTTTGGAGTGACTCCTCTTCATTTAGCAACGTCATCAGGTCACACTCCAATGCTCCAGCTGCTAGCGTCTCATAAAATCAACATTGATGTGCAAGAGTCCTGGGGGCAGTCCCCACTAATGATTGCTACCGCTCAGAGTAGACTAGAGTGCATGAAGACTCTTCTCAATGCAAATGCAAGCACAGAGATACGAGATTATCACCATGGCAACACGGCGCTACATGTAGCATGTACGACAAAAGACGAGGAGACTGTTTTGTTGCTTTTGGACGCAGGTGCCAATCCATGCAGCATAAATGGCAAAGGAATGAGCTCTTTAGGAGTTGCAATCGAGAATAAGTTTTATCGCATTCTTCCTCTACTGTTGGAATATGGTGCTAGACTGAATGATAATGATAGAGTGGTGACTTCTAGTGGACTCCAAAACTATCTTGATAACTGTTTAAGTGAGTTTATAATTATTTCATGTTACATACCTTTAATATTAATCCTTCCTATTAGCTACTCCAATTCCTCTCCTACGTCAGTGCAGAGTTGCTGTACGTCAAGCCTACGGTCCATCTTGTCTTGAAAACTTGAACAGATTCTTAGAGGAACAAGATCAGACAATGGCCAGTTATGTCAAAGGAGTAAGGGATGATTGCTGTGGAAAACTTGACGAGATCAAGAAACACGCACTACTAGGAAGGACTGCTGTCGTCACTGATGAAGCCCTGACTAAATTTTAAATGTTATATATATATATATATATATATTATATATTGTTGTTTTCGTTTGTCTTTTATCAACATACAAACATGTGCCTTGCTGTTTTGTTGCTAGAGATTATGTCTTTATCTATTGTCTGGTTGTATTAATGTTTGTTTTTATTATGTCTGTAAAGGATTTAATACAAAAGTAATAATGAAAGAGTGAGAGAGATACAAAAAATTGAAACGATATTTAATCGCACAAATCGCTAAAGATAATGATATCCAATTGCATCAGGCATTGCACTGCAACTCTTCTTCTCCACAATAGTCACGGCGGCCATTATGATAATACCTAGCAACACACCACAGACTTGTTTGACAGATGCAACTGAATCTTCCATTAGCTCTGGAAGAATGCTAACTAAAGCAATATACAGGAATCCTCCAGCAGAAAATGGTAGCATCCACAAAGTGCATTGTCCTACGTATTGAGCTGAGAATCCTACCACTACACCTACCAGTCCACCAGAGGCTGTCACTAATTGTGCTATTGCTGCATCCGGACACGAGAAACCTGATCTTAAGAGGATAGCAAAGTCTCCTATTTCGTGAGGTATTTCATGACAGAGTATAGCGAGGGTCGTTAATAAGCCAACAAGAGGGCTAACGAGGTAGCTAGCAGCAATGGCTAGCCCGTGGGTAAAGTTATCAGTAATGTTTGCAAGGAGGTTGAGGTAACCGCTAATGTGTCTCTTTTTGTTATTATTATCATTACTTGGGGTAGTAGAGATAGTTTCAATGTGTTTCGCAAGCTTTTCCACTGTCATGAATGTCACTAGACCAAGTATAATCCACATGCCTCTCCTCTGAAGACTAGCTTTCACCTCTCTTTTATCTCCTTCATGTCCATCCTCCCACTCCACTTGTCCCCATGCTTCAGGTAATAGGTGTAACCAAACATCTCCCAATAAGCTGCCAACAGCAAAGCTGAGGACCAACCTCAAAGAGACTGAGCCCCCATCTACAGCCCTGAGGTCGATACAGCGAGTAAAGAGAAGAGGTAGTATGCCACAAGAGCTCACGGCGGTAGCGCTACACAATCCCATAAGCCATACTCTAGCGGATACAACTACTGTAGTATCTCCATCACTTCTCACTTTTTGCGAGTGTATATGAGCCCCCGCTGAGCTCAGGGCCACGACTAGTAAGATGAAAAGCAGGAGAGTGAGCCTTCTCTTCTTTTTCGTCAGCTCCATTGTTGAAAGTGCGGCTCTGCCATCTGTTTTCAAGCCTTTTAGGTGTGGCTGAGCTAGCCGGTTAAATCATAGATAATAGAGTTAAATTTATTAATGTTTTATTAATAAGTTAAGTAACTATTAATATAAATAACTTTTAATAACTTTTATTGCTGTTGTTGCTGCAAAAGAAAAAAGATTCATAACAGATTAAACAGGATTGCTTGCTTGCTACCTGTTGAACTGCTTCACTAAACAGAGACAAGGAGATTCGTGCCAAATGTCTACAGTTCTCACTAGCATCATTGGCAACAACATCTGTAGGAAAACACTGATAATAATAATAATAATAATAATAATGATTATAAATAAATAGAATGTATATATGTGTATAGTATGAAAAAAAACGAAGCTACCAAAAAGAATAAGTATTCACAGTCATAAGTGTTTTGACCATAAAGCTACCAAAAAGAATAAGTATTCACAGTCATAAGTGTTTTGACCATAAAGCTCAGAGAGAGAGAGAGAGAGAGAGAGAGAGAGAGAGAGAGAGAGAGAGATGAAGTTGCTAACCTTTGACCCACAACAGTATCTCATTAAGACCACCTTCCATTAGTGCTGGAACTGATGATGGAGGAACAGTTGCCAAAACACAAGATACACAATATAGGACACCTTGGCGGACAGAACTATTAAAAATAACGAAATGGAATAACAATAACAATTATAATTATTTACCACAAAATACACCAAGGATTATAATTACACATGTACATGTAATTATATATATTTAAAATGATTCAACATACACGTCTGTGTGATACTTAAATGACCAGCAGAAGTCGAGGAGCGAGGCAGACATGAGAGGCACCAGGGGACAGTGTACGGCAAGATGAACAATTAAACCAAGAGCATACAACAACTGACCCAACAGAGAACTGAAAGATAAAAAAGGAGAGATCACACTTGAATAAATAAGTAACTTTAAAAGTTCGTAAAAAGTTGGACCTTGATTGGAATCAGCTCAAACTTTCTGCACAACATAAGTACATGTATATGCATCAGGAAATATCATAAAAATGGAGAATTCTATGCTTTTCGTTTTTGGTGAAATTTGGCCAAAGTCCCTGTACTATAGTACAGGGTCTTTGGCCCGATTTTTGAGTAACTTTAAAAAATCATAAAAAATTTAAATTTGATCGGAATCAGCTCAAACTTTCTACGCAACATAAGTACATGTATATGCATCAGAAAATATCATAAAAATTGAGAATTCTATGCTTTTCATTTTTGGTGAAATTTGGCCAAAGTCCCTGTACTATAGTACAGGGACTTTGACCCGATTTTTGAGTAACTTTAAAAATTTATAAAAATCCAAATTTGATCGAAATCAGCTTAAACTTTCTACGCAACATAAGTACATGTATATGCATCAGAAAATATCATAAAAATTGAGAATTCTCTACTTTTCATTTTTGGCGAAATTTGGTCAAAGTCCCTGTACTATAGTACAGGGACTTTGGCCCGATTTTTGAGTAACTTAAAAAAATCATAAAAAATCTAATTTTGATCGGAATCAACTCAAACTTTCTATGCAACATAAGTACATGTATATGCATCAGAAAATATCATAAAAATTAAGAATTCTCTACTTTTCATTTTTGGCAAAATTTGGTCAAAGTCCCTGTACTATAGTATGGGGTCTTTGGCCCAATTTTTGAGTAACTTTAAAAAATCATAAAAAATTCAAATTTGATCGGAATCAGCTCAAAATTTCTATGCAACATAAGTACATGTATATGCATCAGAAAATATCATAAAAATGGAGAATTCTATGCTTTTCATTTTTGGTGAAATTTGGCCAAAGTCCCTGTACTATAGTACAGGGTCTTTGGCCCGATTTTTGAGTAACTTTAAAAATTTATAAAAATCCAAATTTGATCGAAATCAGCTTAAACTTTCTACGCAACATAAGTACATGTATATGCATCAGAAAATATCATAAAAATTGAGAATTCTCTACTTTTCATTTTTGGCGAAATTTGGTCAAAGTCCCTGTACTATAGTACAGGGACTTTGGCCCAATTTTTGAGTAACTTCAAAAAATCATAAAAAATTCAAATTTGATTGGAATCAGCTCAAACTTTCTACGCAACATAAGTACATGTATATGCATCAGAAAATATCATAAAAATTAAGAATTCTCTACTTTTCATTTTTGGCAAAATTTGGTCAAAGTCCCTGTACTATAGTACAGGGACTTTGGCCCGATTTTTGAGTAACTTAAAAAAATCATAAAAAATCTAATTTTGATCGGAATCAACTCAAACTTTCTATGCAACATAAGTACATGTATATGCATCAGAAAATATCATAAAAATGGAGAATTCTATGCTTTTCATTTTTGGTAAAATTTGGTCAAAGTCCCTGTACTATAGTATGGGGTCTTTGGCCCAATTTTTGAGTAACTTTAAAAAATCATAAAAAATTCAAATTTGATCGGAATCAGCTCAAAATTTCTATGCAACATAAGTACATGTATATGCATCAGAAAATATCATAAAAATGGAGAATTCTATGCTTTTCATTTTTGGTGAAATTTGGCCAAAGTCCCTGTACTATAGTACAGGGTCTTTGGCCCGATTTTTGAGTAACTTTAAAAAATCATAAAAAATTCAAATTTGATCGGAATCAGCTCAAACTTTCTACGCAACATAAATACATGTATATACATCAGAAAATAACAAAGATAATTCCGTGGGTATATATTATATTATATCAAGTCAAGAGCATCAATTGTGGTACCTGTCTCTTCCTTGAAGATCAAGTGTTGGTATCTTATTAACGTCAAAATGAGATATCAAAGGGAAAAAGAACTGACCACACACATCATTAAACTGATTAGGAACAGCTTCAAGCTTTTTAGAACCCTGAGGAAGAGAAAAATGAAAAATAAAAGAGAGAGAGAGAGGGGGGGGGGCAAAGGAAAAGAGACGAAATACAAAAAATATAAAAATTAAAACAGGTATGAACTACCTTTGATATTAATCTAGTTTTGGCTTGTACCCTTTCCTCTACAATCTGTTGCCATGGTTTCTTCCCTGGAGCAAGAGACGGCTCTTTTAGACTAAATTCCTCGACCTTCTTTGTCTGTGGATTTGAAAGCTTCCCAGCTCCAGCTGTTAATACCTGCACATAAAAAGAAATAAAAAAACCCAACAATAACAATCATTATACACAATGCATTCATCAACGTGACATTTCTAAGCAATCACCAATCAGTAAAAGAAGGCGTATAAGTTCACTATAATACAGCTGCTAACTGATACCATATTACTATAAACTTTATAAAGCATACTATTATACACACATAATGTACTGGATATGGGAATTTGCTGAATTTATAATTACAATAAGCAGAGGGATACCTTGTTTTTATATGCTCACTCACCTCCAGTATAGTCATCCTCTGACTAAGATTGTAATGCTGGGAATAAAACTGTTCACATAAGTATGGAGCCACCTAGCAATATAAGCATAACAAACAATGGCAGTGTCATATACCAGACCTACACACATACAAACAACTCACACACATACCCACACATACACAAAAGAATGACTCATAGATACTAGTACAAGTATATGTAGATTCACTCTATATATTATTATTATTATTATTATTATTATTATTATTATTATTATTATTATTATTATTATTATTATTATTATTATTATTATTATTATTATTATTATTATTGATTGATTGATTGATTTGACTCTAAATACTATACAAAAATGACACATTAAGCCACAGGCAAAATAATAAAGAGAAAAAAAAAGAGAGAGAGAGTACATAGGGATAGTAACTCAAGCAAGAGTATGAGTGACATGTATTATCAGTAAATGTACACAACATCGCATGTCCAGACACTAGTGTATACCTGTAGAGGACATGTAGCTACACACTCAACAAGAGAATCATGTCTTAGCTGAGTAAACTCTTGCTCTAAGGAGTAATTGTCCTCTAAGTGTAGCAGAATCTTGGCTAGCTCTAGACATAACTCCGGCAGGTCAGCTGGTCTGGATTGGATAAGATTCTTTAAACCTCTCAGAGCAGAAACGTGTTTTGAAAACTCGTTTTTAGCAAGGAGACCTACATGTATATATATATATATAGAGAGAGAGAGAGAAGGGTAATCCATTGATGTTAGTGTTAATATGATTACAGTTGTCTGTAGGAATTTGATACTGGAGCAGCTGTAAATGAATTTTAAATGATAATTAAAATGTATGACAAATGAATTTTAATATAAGTGTGTCATGGTGAAAGTACACAAGACTAATTATTACATAATTATAATAATTAATAAAAATATAAAATCAGACTTAGATACACATACACACTTTAATAAAACCATTTTAATACATGTACATGTACGTGTACTACTGGCAATCCAAGAATTGTGCAAAAGTTAATTCAATTCTAGCTACAGCAATTTAAAATGATTATTTTTTATGAATAAAAATAACAGTTATTAAAAATTTGTCATCCATTAATTACTCTCCCGTAATCCTATCTCATTTCAATTCTTCTAGTACATACTAATCCTAAATCATGCTGTACTAAATCTCTCTCAAGCAACTAATGGAAGAAAGTCACTACTTTTTCCTGAATTCCCACAACCGTCAGTGACATATTATTTAAAATTGAGAATAACATGGCAGGACGCATTAACGCATTTACCCAACAGAACTAAAACAAGACCATCAAGTTCAAAGAGAGTGACAAACAACATAATAAAACTGTTTGATAACAAAACGATTATCATCAAATAAACAGAGGCTTGCCTTGTATTGCAGTCCGTAGATGAAGAGGAGGCGGTTTAATGTCACTGTCCCTGTCATTACTCATATCATAAGGTTGAAGATCATCGTCGTCGCTATGGGAACAATAAATACATGTACATGTAAATGGAGCCGGTTTTTAAAAACAGAGATTGCTTGAATATTAGAGGAACAAAGTTAAAAAGTAGAATGGGCAATCAATAAAACTTTAAATTCATAACTTTAAACCTTCAGTTTTTGTACATGTACACATCATTGCTATACATTGTACATGTACCTATCATTGTCATTGGTAACAGTGCTTTGTACCAATCCTTCTCCATATCTCTCTTTAAGAGGCGAAGGTTTTTCATCTTCTTTTACTGCTGGAGGAGCCAATGGGGCAAGACCTTTCTCCTAATTATTAGACAGCACAATGAATATGAGAGACTAATATTATACTCAGTGCTGTGTGTTTGTTGATTCACTTGATCAGTGATGGGTCTCATGAGTGACTTCAACCATAAGATTGAGTCACTTTCAGGATATGAGAACTGAAGAGGTTTAAAAGAAGAGGAGGTAGGAGAAGAGGGAGGAGAGGAAGGAGGAGAAGAGGGAGGATCAGGAGAAGGATGCAATAGGTTCATAATAAACTCCCCAGCTGCCATTCCAACATATTTGAACTCATCAATCGGAGACTGGAGATGAGCTTGTATCCCTTGCATGACTAGACTAGTTAATTCTATTAAGATATAACATAACATAAACAAAACACAGAAAATGTACAACCAGCCAATGATGAAGTAATAACTATCATAATTACTATTTTAATCAATACACATATGTATACTCAGACACATTTCCTCCATCCCTCCCTCCCTAACAGTCTGACTGCCTGTCTGCCACTACAAGTTAACCTGATAGTTGGGGCTGAAAGAGAGAGAGATCGATAAGGTTCATCCCCAGGACAACATGTCCAGTTATTTGAAGGTGAAGTCCAGCTGTCATGTGCCTCAAAGCACTCTTGTCTGACCACAGTCTCAGTGATAGTAATATCGACTCCATTAGTAGAGGATGTAGCTTCTTGTTGCTTCCCAGGTACCCTAGAAGAACCCTCGGGTCTGAGAGAGGCCTGATGATAACATATTTATTAGTTAGGAGGTAGCTGGCCTGGGACGAGTGGAGAGGAAGGGGACCGAGAATACGCCACAACGGAGAACCCAATCGTAACGACCTATGTATCCATGTACATGTATGCATGTAGACACCCAACAAGTTAAACTTGTAATATAATATGTACTATTGAATTATAATATTACGCTTCGAACTATGGCAGAACACAAAGTGAAAGTACTTGTTATTTTAAAAGTACATATACTGGACAGGTGCACGTGTGTGTACATGTACATACCAAGTGAGAGACATATGCAGACAGACAGACAGACAGACATAAATACATCATGTTACTGATCATACAAACACACTTGTAGTGTGATCCACATCATCTCATACCATCGTGTGTGTGTGTGTGTGTGTGTGTGTGTGTGTGTGTACATTCAGACAGGATGTATACTAGTGACTACACTTTGTGACTACCTCAAGGAATGTGGTAATAAAGTACATTATAACAGGGAAACTTTCATGCATAATGAACAAATACAAATAAAGTTATCCTAAATTATATTAGTATGATCAATATTGTAGGGTTTGCAGGTGGTTTCTAAGAAATCCGATTGATAGATATAGTCAAAAGCTAATAGTAATTATCAGGAGTAATTATATTATTTGAGGAAAGACTGATACATCCCTAGTACCCAATATGCAGCTGCTTTCATGTTGGGCCAGGAAAAGAGAGAGAGAGAGAAAGGAAGAGAGGTCAGAGATTAAGAGCAAATCCCCAAAAATGATGTCAGCATTATTATAATCGTAATTAATGTACAAGACATACCTGTCAGGTTTTCCCACAGAGCATGCTAAGTGAAAGCTAAACAGCATGAGCTTCATAAGCTAGCAAGTACATGTGCATGTACATGGTATTTGGAGTAACTTTAAAAATTCGTGAAAAATCCAAACTTGATCGGAATGAGCTCAAACTTTCTACGCAACATAAGTACATGTATATGCATCAGAAAAAATTATTAAAATGAAGAATTCTCTCCTTGTCATTTTTGGCAAAATTTGGCTCGAGACCCTGTACTATAGTACAGGGACTTTGACCCGATTTTGGAGTAACTTTAAAAATTCATTAAAAAATCTAATTTTGACTAGAATCATCTCAAACTTGAAACACAACCTAAGTACATGTATATGCATCAGAAAAAATTATTAAAATGAAGAATTCTCTCCTTGTCATTTTTTGCAAAATTTGGCTCGAGTCCCTGTACTATAGTACAGGGACTTTGGCCCGATTTTGGAGTAACTTTAAAAAATTCAAATTTGATCGGAACCAACTCAAACTTTCTGTGCAACATAAGAACATGTATATGTATCAGATAAAATTATAAAAATGGAGAATTCTCTCCTAGTCATTTTTGCCAAAATCATGATACATGTTCCAATGTGCTCATACATGAACTGTATAATAACTTCCTGTTCGCTAGAAATAAAAGAATTAAAATACTAACAGATCATTAACACAGACACTACCTGATCCCTCTCACCCAACCTCTCACTAATGTATCATTAACTACAGCAACTACAACATACCATTGCCATAGAATTCCAGTCTATGAGTAATTAATATGTCTCCATGGAAACATTTAATAACATTTAAGGAACACCTGACATTAGCAGACCAGTTGTCTCCCTCCCTCCTCCTCCTCCATGCACTACACCTCATATTACAGCAATTATAATGACAGAGACACTATCATTATTTCATTCTTAAAAGGACGTTGTTATTTCATGCTAGTATCATGTACAATACTATAAGTATATACTCTGCATGGGGTATAGAAGCTTATAATGAGAATACATGTAACTCAAAAGTGATACTAGAAAAATTCCAGATTTAACCTAATATATATACATACATGCAGAATTAATTAACATCGGGGACACAAGATATGTAGATTACATATGATGTGAAGGATGAAGAAAGAGGTTTGTATGTGAGGTTTTTACACAAACAAATAAACATACGGTCTAACGTGGTGCATGAGACCATCTAGTGTGGCCTCCATTTGATGCTCTGGTATGGACATGAAGAGACTATGACACATGCTAGACCAATGAGTGTCATCTTTGGTCACTTCCTCAAGTTTAGGACAAAGACAACCATAAAATGAATCTGTAGAAAGAAAGAGTATTGTGTTTACTGTGCAATGGACATAAGTAAATGTACATCTAAAATCAAGATTAAGAGAGTAGTAGTAAGAGAGAGGGAGAAAGAGATAGGGAGGGGAGGGAGAAAAAAGAGAGAGAGAAAGGGAAGGAAGGAGAACAAGGTGAGAAAGGAGAGAGGGGGGGAGGGAGCAGAGAGAGGGAGTGAGAAAGAAGGGCATCAAGGGAGAGAACACAATTGATAAAACACCAAAACAGGATACGGACTTTTAAAAGCAACAATGATAGCATACACAAGATGTTTGCTTACCTCTATGACCTAACATGGATACCTTCCCTACCAACGAGGCAAGGAATGTTAATTTACTTTTCTCTGCATCTCCTATAGACAGAGCATAAAGTTTAATAAACAAACAGAATCACTTCAAATAATTTTGGCTCCAGACGGACAGTGCCCTGTCCATGCAGACACCTGCCAGGCAGACTTTATGACTACATCATGAACATGTATATATGCTGGAGGAATGCATCAAGTTCATGAACCTATTCAGAGGTTTGTAAGGTCACTCCATTGTGAGTTACTAACATGCCTACTAAATTTCTCATTAGGTGGTTTCATGCATCAAGATACATGTACTGTACATTTTGATCTAAAAGCTTTCCAACTGTAATATCATGTACAATATACTGGCTATTGTCATGAGGTTAAAATTAAAAATCAATGAATAAAAATATGTGTTTTTCTGTATATAAGTTTCCCGAAATGCAAAATCTGTGAAATTTACGACCCCAAGAACATAAAGCATATCTAGTAGCAAGCATTTACAATACCTACCACTGAGTGACGTTGAATGAATGTACTCCAATGATTTAAACATACAGCTGGCCAGTCTCCGGTAATAATTAATAGGAAGGAATTCATCCGAGACCTGTCTTCCTCTTTTAGAGGAGAAGAGGTCAGGAAAGCGACTGAGCCCATTTATTAACAGTTTCTGTGTGTTTGGTGAGCTAGTGACTGATTTGTCTCTCAGGATGACTTCGATCGAACCATTTTTCATCATTTGAAGAACAACACTTTCAAGCCATTGGGATCCTTGAATACTATAAAAACACGTAAAAAATGATAATTAATAATACCACAAGCATCACTTAATGACATATAAATATTATAATATCATTGATGTATACTTAATACAGGGTTTTTTCGGCTGTTTGGTTTGCGGGGAGAAGCATTTTAAAAATAAACATGGTCTCATTTATTTTCACTAATTAATGAACATTCCTGAACATTTATGCGCCACTAGGTCTGTACGTTAATGATTGACATACTGAAGAGTTTTCTTTTTGAAAATTGGCAATCATCAAAATAAAACCCTGGAATACAACAATATTACTTTCATTTTTGTCACAATTTTTAAAAATTCCCACAGCTGCATCTATAATCCCACCCACGCATAAAATTAACCCAAAATCTAACAAATTAATTTTTATTACTGAATATGCAATAAACAGAATTAATTAAAAAATTATTTAAAAAAATCAAAATTAAAATCATAAAAAATGAAATTTTAATGTGCCATAATGGTAATACCTCGTTCATTACCTGGCTTTAATTATGCTACTGCTGATAATTTCAAGTGCTTTAACTGGCCCAGCAAACATCAGGAGGCTGGTATGTTCAGTATGATATGCAACCCATTCGTTACAAGAAGATATCAATATCTGGCATAACTGAGCATGAAGTAATGCCTTTTGGCCACTCTCAACCTCCTCGAGGCACTTCAGTCCTCGTGAAATGATTTGTGAGAAATCCTCAAATGAAGAGCAATTAAAAGTTAGACTTTTCTTAAAATCATTAACAGCAGAAAGCTCCATTATTATCAACTTCAAGATCACACCTAATACCACGCCCATGGGGCTCATGCATAACAGACTTCAGAGCACAAATTTGAACCAAAAATCTTGAAGATCACAAAAGAAAATACACTGCACACTATTACTACAAAGAAGATACGTAGCATTTAGATCTAGTGCAGCATTTTTGCAACAGTGCAACATTACTTTTCTGATTTTATAATTATTTCTTGGATTTTGTGTTTATGACCCGCCCACTACATGCCCCACCCCAGACAGTGTTCCCGGCTGCGGGCGCGTCAAGTAGACTGCAACTTTGTCGCCAGTAGTTTGTCGTTCCCCATTCTATATTGTCTCTTAAAAGGGATGCCAAATAGTCTGGGGGTTCGTCATGAACAGCAGTATTGTACATCAACAGCAACAGCAGCAGGAGAGTCGAGAGCAGGAGCAGTGCCCACCGCTAGCCACTGATCAAACAAGAAGAATGAAGCTCAGGCTTACTGGTAAACGCGTCTCACCTTATATCTCCTTTTCTTCTCTTCTTCTTGTCATTTATGTGTACTAACTGTTCTCTTTCTTTTACAGTTCATTCAGCCAAAAATTTGGTAAAGAAAGAGCTCTTTAGTAAGATAAACTTATCTATTTAATTTTACTCTAGCCTCCTCTTTCCTGTTATCTTTCTCTTCCTACATTTCAAACTGTGTTCTTCTTTCATTTCTCTTACTTCCTTTAATTTCTCAATCTTTCCTTTTCTCTCTCATTTCTCTTTCTCCCCTATGCTTTCTCTTTCTCTCTTCTCCTACTTTCCATCCTCTGTCTCTCTCTCCACATTACTAGAATTGCCAGACCCTTTTGCAAAGGTAGTAGTTGAAGGTAGCGGTCAGTGTCACTGCACAGAACCAATCAAATCAACATTAGACCCAAAATGGAATCAACATTATGACCTGTAAGAGCCTCCACTTAACGTACACTAGAAGCTCTATTACTCTCTCTTTTTTATCTCTCCCTTCTTTCATTGAAAGGTTTTTGTGTCGGTCGGATTCCGTCACTATTAGTATTTGGAACTCTCGTAAGGTTCATAAACGTCAGGGAGCTGGGTTCCTTGGCTGTGTCAGGCTAAACCCATCCAGCGTAAATCGCCTTAAAGACACTGGATGTGAGTTTGATTTTATTTCTCTCTCTCTCTCTCTTTCTCCCTCTTTCTCTTTCTCTCTCTCTCTCAACTCCCAATGTGTATTCACTACATAGTAACACATGTACATTAAACTCCATATTAAGATGCTAGTGTTACCCTAATACTATCGTGTTGTGTATGTGTGTTTATATAGATCAGAGACTGAACTTGGGGAAGAACCTTCCTAATGATGATGAAGCTGTGCGTGGACAGCTAATAGGTAAAAGGGAACGCTTTCACAGTGTGTTTTGTAAAGAAGAGTAGAGGAAAGGAGAAAGAGAGGGAGAGCTACAATGTATTATGTTTTTTTTGTGGTCATGGTTGAATGTGATATCTTTGTCTTTTTGTCTTCTCTGTCATACTTGACTATCAATTATTCTGTCTCTCTCTCTCTGCCTCTTGTGTGCATGTACATACATGTACATCTTTAATTATCACTTCTCATGTACCCTGTTCCTTCTCCTCTTTCTCTCTCTTCTCTACAGTTAGTTTGACATCTCGTGAACCATCTTCACAAGTCATTCCTTCTCCTTTGATATCTTCTTCGTCTCTCTATGAACTGCCCGAAGGGTAAGTCATTCTATCAACATACCAACACTTCAAACAAATCTAGTTTATACTTTGTGGCATAAGCAGTATGTCTCCCTTTATTGCTTTCTGTGTGTATCTATGTGTCTATGTATGTACAAGTGTGTGACATAGTGTGTCTTTAATTTTCTGGTGTATTATAGTGGTAGTGTATGACATAAGAGCTAGTCCATTTACCAGTGTATTTGTGGATCTGTACTAAATGTCTGTGTGTGTGTTTGTGTCTGTGTGTGTGTGTGTGTTGTATAGTACTTAGAGTTTATCCTGGGAGCATAGTATGTGGCATTTATGATGTACATGTACTTTTGAACCTTGTTGCTGTTTATAAGTCTGATGTGATTTATGAGTATCAGTATAGTGACACACATATCACATACATTTGCATCATGTGTGTGGTGGTGGGCTAAGCTTAGTTATGTTTGCATGTCTGTCCTTGTGTCTATAAACTCTCTCTCTTTATAAATTATTAAAGTGTTGGGTGTGTTTTTGTCTGTCTGGCCCTGCTCTTTGTCTGAGTGCTTCTTTTAATGTAGTTTATTTGATAGTGCTGCATGTAAACTTTACCAGCCCTTTCTTTAATTTAGCAGTACACTGTACACATGTACACACACTGTGACTACTCTTTCTCTCTCTCTCCCTCTCTCTCTCTTTTCTATTTTCTCCTCTGTCTTTGTTTATGATTTGCATGTCTGAAAGATTATTAAATGTCTCTGGGACTGTAGCTACATGTACAGTACACCAGTTTCCTCCATGCCTCCTCCTCTTATTTGCTTGTATTGTGTTATACTTCTTTCATTACATCTTGTACTGTAGTTGGGAAAGGAAAAGGACACCTCATGGAAGAGAATACTTCATTAATCACTACACGAGAACAACACAGTGGAACAAGCCGACAAGGTAAGATAATGTTACACATATTCTTAGTAGTAGTGTCTATACGTATTATTATTATTATTATTATTATTATTATTATTATTATTATTATTATTATTATTATTATTATTATTATTAATATTATTTTGAAGGTGAAAATCACTTATTATTATTTATATAATTTTATTTTTGGTTGATGTATAGACCAGGCTATGAGAGTGTCCAATCCTGCAACCCTACCATCGCTAACATTACAACTCAAATAGATACCAATTCCCTTGTACCTACGTCTACGTCTCGCCCTTCAAGCATGCACATTGAGTCGACCGTCGTCCAGTCTCCGTTGTCAACGTCGGGTGGTGAGCGTCCGCTCAGTACCCACGGGATACCCTCTACTTCTGAGCTTATGGATCTCGGCCCTCCTCCTTCCCACCCTCCCCCCACAACTTCTCTGACTACGACTCCTCCAGTCTCCCCTAGAGCAAAGTAAGGCTCTTTTATGATAACTGGCGGTAAATATGGTGGGTATAGCCTCTTCAAAGAGAGAGAAGTGGCTTCTTGTTGCTATGACAGTGAGGGAGAGTGTCACCTCCCTTGTCTGCTGGCTAGAATAACAGTTTTTGTTTTTCTTTTCCTATATAGCTCCCCCAGGCCACAAGGCTTGGATGCAGCAAGACATCAAATGTACATGAGAAGAAACACATTACATCACGAGCTCCAGCTACCTGATGGATATGGTAGGACTTACTGGAAATTGCATATGCATGAACATTCATTCTCTCTCTCTTTCCCTCTCCCTTTATCACCTTTCCCCCCTCTCTCTCTCTCTCTTTCCCTTTACCTTTATCACCTTTCCCCCCCTCTCTCTCTCTCTCTCTTTCCCTCTACCTTTATCACCTTTCCCCCCCTCTCTCTCTCTCTTTCTCTCACTCCCACTCTCTCCCTCTTTCTCTCCCTCTCCCTCCCCCCCTCTCTCTCTCTCTCCTTTCCCTACCACTACAGAACAACGCATCACTTCACAAGGTCAAGTATATTTCATTCACAGAGAGACAGGAGTCAGTACTTGGCACGACCCTCGCTTCAGGTAAGATATGTGACATAATTAAGTGTATGTAAATACTAATAATAATAATAACAATACTGCATGATTGCGTGATGATAAAATCCACTGGATTATTCAGCATTTATTTCCCTTGTAATCATAAGCACACAGACACACACACACACCTTGTACACCTAGCCTTTCATTGGTATGGTGTGTCAATAACTATCCCCAGGAAGCCATAACCTTTACTAAGTGCAGTCACAACATTGCTAGAGGCACCAGTGATACTGCAGTAGATACAGTGTGTGTATTATATTGTACTTCATATTCTAATTACTATTATCATTCCATTAAGATAAGGCACTCCCATTAGTGTCTCACTCATTATAATGCTACCATGTATTAGTCTTTATAGTAAAATTAATGTACATGTGTACATATAGCAAATGTACTATACATAAGTTGTATAGTCTGTCCACTATGTCTGTATAGTATATAATTGCATTCAGTATGTCCATGTACATCATATGGAGGAGTTATTTTGTAATGATTCAGTTGTACAACTGGCACTAGCACATTATAGTGTGGGATTATCAGTTATCCACTAGCTGTTTCATTCTAAGTACACAACATGTACTTACTGTATCTTCTCTCTTTAAAGGGACATGGAGCTAGGCTCGTCAGACTTAGGTAATTTACCCGACGGCTGGGAGATACGATATACGTCAAACGGACGTAGATATTTTGTCAATCACGCAAACAGGACGACACAGTTCACTGGTTAGCTTTCTCCCTTTCCCTTTCTATCTTTCTTTTTTATTGTTTTTAGACCCGAGACTATCTGCCATTGTTTCTCGTCGTATACTCGTTGCCGCCAGTCAACCAGAGTCCAATCAACCTCCGTCCCTCTATCAGGGCCTCGTGCCTCCTCCGGCCGAGAAGAGAGACCTAGTTCACAAGATGCATCGTCTCCGATCTCAGTTAAACGCTCTCCAAACTCAAGCGGGTCACTGTCGCATCGAGGTATCTCGTGATAACGTCTTTGAGGAGACCTATCGTCAAATCATGAGACATAAAGTGAAAGACCTTAAAAAGAAGCTTCTTGTTCGTTTCCGTGGCGAGGACGGGTTGGATTATGGTGGTATAGCCCGCGAGTGGCTGTATTTGTTGTCTCACGACATGTTGAATCCTTATTACGGGCTCTTCCAGTATTCAAGGGAAGACGTGTACACGCTTCAAATAAATAGAGACTCTGGCGTCAACCCGGTATGAATCAATGAATTTAATGTATTTATACTCTTCAATTTATTGGATAATGGTATCCTGTATTGGCTATGAATTATTAATGTGTACATTAATAGAGATATACTTATAATTTGTGCATGTACACATATTGTAATTGATATGATATTGTAATTGGCGTAATAGCTAGAGAGCAGCTGTATTTGTAATTTAATTAATTTGTGCACTTAAATGTCAATTCCAATCTTCTTAATAGCTAGCCTCCCAACTCACTTTATCATTGACTATAAAATTCCTAAATAACTATACACTATACATATACATGTACCTCACACATTGAGGTATCCTCAGTAATTTGTCACTGGTATTATAGTGCAGGTGGCATGAACATGTGTAATTGTGTACATATACATTATATTGAGTATAGCTACTCTCTCCTATAGTCCATAGATAATGTCTGTCTTGTTATTGATGCCTATACTTGTCTTTATTTTGTATGTGTACATGTACATGTACTGTATACCTCTTTGTCTGTGTGTCTGGCTGGCAGCTCACCTGTCTTCTCTTATTTGGGTATTTATAAATTAATTAATATGTCTCTCTCTCTCTTTGTGGATAATATATGTACATACACATGTAAGTCACTCCCTGTATTAATTGTCTTTTTTTCAATCTTCACTTACTCAAGTACATAGTTTAATACCCATGTACATGTAGCTAGTATTAATTGTCTCTCTAGACAGTACATGTACATGTACATGTATACCCACATTACACTGACCAGTGCATATATTCTAATGCTAGTCTGTGGCTATCTTGAGTAGTCTTAAGGCCTCCATACACTAGGCAACATGTTGCTAGCAACTTCTGTGGTCACTTTGATCTTGTGTCTAAGAATAGAATTCTGTTCTATTTTTGGAACAAGATGATTACAAGATCAAAGTAACCACAGAAGTTGCTAGCAGCATGTTGCCTAGTATATGGAGGCCTTTAAGGATTCTCATTATGATTAATGGGATATCATGAGCTTCATGAGCTCACTGCTTCATGCAGGCAGGTGCAAGGCATTTGGAGCAACTTTGAAAATTCATGAAAATTCCAAATTTGATCGGAACCAGCTCAAACTTTCTACGCAACATAGGAGCATGTATATGTATCAGAGAAAATTATAAAAATGGAGAATTCTCTACTTTTCATTTTTGGTGAAATTTGGCCAAAGTCCCTGTACTATAGTACAGGGACTTTGGTCTAATTTTGGAGCAACTTTAAAAATTCATAAAAAGTCTAAAATTGATCGAAATCAGCTCAAACTTTCTACATAACATAAGTACATGTATATGCATCAGAAAAAGTTGTAAAAATGGAGAATTCTCTACTTTTCATTTTTGGCAATATTTGACGACCAAAGTCACTGTACTATAGTACAGGGACTTTGGCCCGATTTTGGAGTAACTTTCAAATTTATAAAAATTCCAAATTTGATTGCTGATCATTTTTTATTATTTTAGGAGCACCTTTCTTATTTCTATTTTGTTGGGCGGATACTGGGAATGGCAGTGTTCCATGGTCTTTACATTGATGGAGGCTTTACCCTTCCTTTCTATAAAGTAAGATGAACATAATTTACCCCAATGTACACATGAAACAGATTATGTATTGAAGTCATGATGTATATACATACTGCAAATGTATTCTATAAATTTTTCTCTCTTTCTCTCTCTCTCTCTAGCAACTTCTTGGTCTCCCTGTCTCACTAGAAGATATGGAGAGTGTTGATCCTGAATTATATCGAAGCTTAAAGTGGATGTTGTAAGCTATTAGGATGTTCATGTACATGTACTTGCGTTAGTTCTGCTGCATCACTTGTTCTAGTATACATTGATAATTTCTCTAGCAGTATAAATTAATTGGCCTATGTGTGAGACACTTGTGCTTTATGTCAGTAAGTGGAGACAAGTTGCCTGGGGTCAGTTACTATAGTAGAACGATTGGCAATGAATTAATAATAATTATAAAATGATTATAATATGTACAGTATGTGTAATTGTGTGTATGATCCATCTGTTGCATGTAAGGATAGTAGCACATGTTTACTGGGAACTTGCTGGTGTACATGTACATGTATAGTTGTGTCTAATTGTAAGGAATGAAGTGGTAATGGACTCATTGCTAAGTATTGCAGTACAAATCAGGTACTGTTTGTGTGTACATGTACATTTATATTGAGAATTTTGGAATGTGATAAGCAGTACATGTACATGTATGTGTATATACTGTCATCATTATACATGTACATGTACATGTATGTGTACGACCCCATGATGTCTGTGTTTTTAATAGAGAGAATGATATCGAAGGAGTAATAGACACAACATTTGCCGTCGAGCATGACCAATATGGTAAACTAATGCTCCACGAGTTGAAATCAGAAGGACAGGAAATCCAGGTTACCAACGAGAATAAAGACGAATACGTGAAGTAAGAGATACTGACATAACTTCACGTTACATTAGTATCTGAACTGAATCAATACATGTTCATGTACAGTGTTATGTATATCTAGAAATAAATTTTGGGAGACCAGTCTAGCTAAATATGAGAGACTAAAAGCTGTTGTAATAATGGGAGATTTTAGGAGACCTAGACCAAATATGGAAGACCAGAAGTCTCCTGGACTCCCTCTAGATCTAACAGTGTCCATACTTGTACTTGTACTTGTTAGTTTGTGTGTGTGTTTTTAGTATTCTTAGTGGGAGTCACCGTTTGGTGGGAGATAGAGATTTGGTTGGTAATTTCTCTTAAAACAATTCCAGTTGATGAGTTGACTTTGAGCATATTGCTCCACCAACGCCCACAGATATATGCCAGCTGCCACACTGTCTCCCCCCCTCCTCTCCCTCCCTGGGCATATCCCATTAACTATGCACTAGTTCACGTGTACTACATGTTCATACGTAAAATACATTTTTTCTACATGTAATTCTACTTTTTTTATATTATATCATAGCTGTATTACCTTTTTTCTCTTTTTTTCTAGTTTGTATGTTCAATGGCGCTTCAAAGCCGGCATAGAGAAGCAGTTCATTGCCCTTCAAAGAGGATTCAACGAAATGGTATCTGGTCATCTCCTAAAGTCATTCGACGAGAAGGAACTGGAACTTATTGTGTCCGGTCTTGGTAAGATTGACGTACAAGACTGGCAACTGAACACTCGCTTGAAGAACTGCTCGCCGGACACTGATCAGATAAAGTGGTTTTGGCAGGTGAGAGAGAGAGAGAGGGGGAGAGGAGAGGGTGAGAGAGAGAGAGAGAGAGAGGAGCTCAAGCAAGAAGATAGTAAATGAAACAAGAGAAATTGTTTATTTATTTATAATTTTCTAAAGGCTTGTCGATCGTTTGATGATGAAATGAGAGCTCGTCTGTTACAGTTTGTGACGGGATCGTCTCGAGTTCCATTGGAAGGTTTTAAAGCTCTTCAAGGTACACTAACCACTTCCTTCTCTCCCCTCCTTCCCCTCTACATTCATTTTGATCATTAGTCACTGTTCTATTATTATTATTATCATTATTATTATTATCATTATTATTATTAAATCATTTAATAGGGTCTACTGGTGCAGCTGGCCCAAGATTGTTTACGATACATATGATCAATACGTCAACTGAGAAACTACCAGAAGCACACACCTGGTGAGTCATTACTTCTGATAGTAACTAATCAGTAGTTTTTTATAAATTAAAATACACCTGGAGCAACTTACACAGTATTTGTGCATTATTAAAGTCCTTGCAGGTGGCTTCACTTTTATAGACTAAAAACACAAAGGTTTTGCTCTTACTTCACACGTACATGTACTTGGATTTGAATATGTAAACTAATGTCTTTGCATTCCTGACACAAACACAATAGCAAATATAGTTCAATGTGTATAGTGTATGTACTAGCTGCTATGAGATACAGGCCCTGAGGTTATCCTGTTTTCTTAAAAGCAAGTGTAGTCACCATGTCTTCTCATTTGTCCCCTGTTGTAGGGGACACATTATTGCACTATGATGTTGGCTTTGGGTTCAGTAGTAAGAGGGTGTGTCATACTGTAACAGGTGTAGTTGTACTGGCACTCTCACGATTATTGTCTAGTGATGTTGGAATTTATTTATAATTAAATCATTTTTATTGCTCACTACATATAATGGCTTGTACAATGTACATATGTACTCATTTATTCTATTATATATAATCTTTTTAAGTGCATGTACATGTATAAGATGTTCTTTGAATACTGGATTGTGTATTATATATTTCATGAAAATGGACATGCATGTACAATTCAAGAATATAGTATAGAATATGCATGTAGTTTATCAGTAGTAAGGTTGTATGGGTATTTAGTGAGTTGTAGCTGCATGTACATGTACATGTGCTTGGTGTCATTGTTTTGGCCCATGGTGCCCAATTAGCTATGCTTACTGGTGTGTCTATTAATGTGGTTTAGTAATTCTATAGTTGGTAATAGAATTACTTCTGAGGCTAATTGTCTGGTAAATCATGTTAGAGGATTCATATGGCATAGTGCTAGTACACAAGTAGATGTATTATATAACTCTGTGTAATACATTTAGGGGAATAGGTGTACATGTACAAGTATGTCATGTCCTTGTACTAATCTAAAGTTTCTGATTATTTTATATCAATCATAGTCAAAGATTCAGAGCAGTAGTTGTAGCATCAAGTGTATTATTAATTGTTGCTGTTTTGTCAGTGATGCATGTGATCCATCATATCTCAAACAAAATTCCCAGCTCTTGGGAATTGGTTACAATGTAATAGCAGAAATTAATAGTGAATTTTGTATGTTGTATTACAGCTTTAAATTGAGAGAGAATAATGCCAGTGCAGGCATTACACATCAACATGAATTTTTCATTAGTCATTTTGAGAATATATATATATATATATATATATGTGACCATAATTGACAAAAGGTACCTTATGGCGGATTTTTAAATTTGTCATTATAATGGAAAATATCAACCTGTGAGTGCTCTGTTAGTCAACCATTGTCTCTAAAAGTTACATAGTAACTTTTTGAATCCTGTGGAGTAATTTTATGATAAATGGAGCTCAGGAAGTTGCATTTTTAAGGCTATAAAGACCAATTTTCCTATCCGACAAAAGGTACCTTTTGTCAATTATGGTCACATATACACATGTAGTTTACTTTGTTTTTTTACAGTTTCAATAGGTTGGACTTGCCTCCTTACGAATCATACGACAAACTATTTGAAAAACTAAGCTTAGCTGTCAATCACACCATTGGTTTCTATTCCGAATGAGCTCATCCTCCAGTTCTCACAATCTGTAATCATATAAACTTTCAAATAACCTCCCCCTCTCTCTCTCAGCACATCTCTCATTTGATCAGTCAGTGTTGCTGCTTCTATTCTTTTTTGAACAACTTAATAGTCATCTCTTTTTTGTTTGCGCTACTCTTCTTTTTGTATATCTTCATTCTCTTTTGTCATCCGTTAACAAACATTCTGTATTATGTTTGCGCGAGCATACATTATACCCCCTTTGTTTGTATTAGTTATTGTTTGTTGTTGTTCTCTGTAACTATATACATATATATAGCTATAAATAATGCAAAACAATCTTTATATATTACTTTATTATTATTGTTGTTGTTGTTATTTACTTCTCTTTTATTCCATGAATTATTATTATTATTATTATTATTAAATTGATTATAAAAGATAGATAAATAGATGGATAGAGAAGAGAAAAAGGTGTGTCGATAAGCTAACATCGAAATATAATTGAGACTATGTCATGTGAAACATAATAAGCTGACATCATGTACTAAAATCTTTCCCTGGATAATTATAGTCTTGAAGGATGAGTCTGAAATGACTGGGTAATGGTAACGTATCAATTTGTTCTTTTCTTTCTAAACATGATGCTATCTTATCGAGACATAGTTCCTGTAACGTTGGGTCTACTCTCATTACTAATGGAAGAGAGGGAGAAAACATGAAGGTATCGTCGAGACTCGAGATATAATGTATATACATGTACATATACAGTATACACATGACAATTTGCCATAGACAGAAGAAGGCGACAAGAACTAAATGTCAAAAAATGTCGCAGCTAATAGTGCTAAATGACAGGTGCTAGACTAATATGGAATAAAATACTTCTTCTCATCTCTCTCTCTCTCTCTCTCTCTCTCTCTCCTACTCACTTGCTCTTGTTATTCGTGTTGCTTTACAGTTAGCATAATGATCAACGACTATGTACACATCATGTCCCGTTTTGTAGATATTATGAGTCGCAGTACCCTGGGGTTTTCCATTTACCAGAAAAGAGAGGACTCCCTTCTCCGTTATTACGATACCCAGTTTATCTCCCTCTTTCAAGTCGTCTAGTGTTATCTCGCCGTAAGCGACCTCTGTCATAGATGTGACATGATCATGGAGTTTACTCGCACACCACACACAGTGTTCTGGGGATTCAGGGGTATAGCGAGGGATCTTTAAAGGATTGAGTTCTTTGTCTGATTTGTGTCTCATCACGCCTAGTTTTAAGTTCCCTGACCAAGAGGTCCCGTATGATATCACCTCTACCTCGAACTCAGCCCGGCCTTTGACTGGTCTCTCGGAATACACCACACCTTTGGCATATATCACTTCTGGATCTACTTTCTTGGCCTCTTTCCCATCGTCTGTCACGCGCATTTGATCAGAACGATAGTGCCTGGATACATGTTAAACAAAATTTATAATTATTGGGCTCCTTACTTATGATATCCGAAGCAGACCACTTCAGGGAGCTTGAAACCACTTTTTGTACTCACCTCCACTTCGGAAGACATTTTTAATTTTTTATGTGGCTAGCCACACCTAGCTACCACGCCCACTGAATTGGTTAACTTACAGGGGCGGGACTTCTCGTTGCTTAGTGATCCCACAACAAGATGGTTGGTTCTCTTTTGTGTTTTAGTGCTACTCTTTTCCTTTTCTGTAGAACTTGTCTCGCTTAAAAGCAGAGACCAGTGGGAGTAAATTAACTGATGCTAAAGGGAAAGAGAAGGCCAAAGACGTCCTCCCTACTCTAGAGGGCTTGCTGTCAATCAGAGACTACACTGGCGCTATTACTCTTTTAAAGTTTCAGAAGAGCACAGGAACTGCTGACATTGGGACTGGACTCTGGCTAGCTTATGCTGCTTTTCATAATGGGGACTATGAAACAGCTAGAAAGGTGAGATAGTTAATTTTTGTTTATTATTATTATTATTATTATTATTATTATTATTATTATTATTATTATTGTTATTATTTTCCCAGGAGTATGAAAATATGACAAAGGTTGAGTCCTGTCATCCTGACGTGTGGTCTAATCTTGGCTGCTGCTATTTCATGCTTGGAATGTATGACGAAGCAAAATCTGCTGCAGAAAAAGGTAATGACATTCAGTTAATGAATGGAAGCAACCCTGTACTGTGCTTGGTCAAGACATAGAGTAACGCTATCATTGCATGAGTGAGGGTGCTTTTCCTATCATGAAACTTGAGTCTTTTTATCAGTTATTATTATTATTTTGTTCTTCCAAGGTCCCAGAAGTCGGTTGCAGAACAGATTATTGTTCCACTTGGCAGAAAAGGTACATAATAATAATAATAATATTTATTATTATTATTATTATTATTATTATTATTAATAGTCAGGAGATCATGATACATTGATGACACATCATCAAAACTTGCAAAATGTTCTTGAAGATCAGGTACTAGCTGCTATAGAAAATTATAATATTTAACAAAATGATTTTTATACCGACATATATACATGTATACACAATCATCTGAATCATACCAGCTTAGCTTAGCTGCAATGAACTATCTTCGAACACATTATCATGCTGCAATTGACATATACAAGAAACTGTCTCAAGATAACAGGTATTATTATGTTGTTGTTATTATTATTATTATTATTGTTATTATTTATTAAGTCAGCAAAAATAATTATAATATCTATTATAACTAAAAATAATTTTGTTTGCTATTACTGAAAGCATATTCTTCTCCCCCTCCCCCTCCTCCTCTTATTTCTCTTCTTAGAGATATGCTGGCCCTTAATGTCTACTCAGCGATGTGCTATCACAAGTTAGACTATTATGACGTATCGCAGGAGATGCTTGCAACGTACGTTCAGATGCACCCGGACAGCATAATGGCGACCAATCTCAAAGCATGCAACAACTACAGGCTCTATAGCGGCAAAGCTGCCGAGGCTGAGCTCAAGCAACTCATGGACCAGCTGTCGTCAAATTATGTCTTTGGTCAGGAGATCATTAAGCATAATCTTGTCATTTTCAGAAGTGGCGACGGAGCGTTGCAAGTATTGCCGGGTCTCATCGGCATCATCCCTGAAGCAAAACTCAACTTAGCCATATACCACTTGAAGCACAGTAATCATAATGTGATGCATTTACATGTACTTGTGCATGGGGCAGGCACTGGTATGTTTAAATGGTGCATTAATTGATGTAATTCTAGCCTATGAAGATTCCAGATATCATACATGTACCAAATTTTTCAGTTGCCCCAAAGTCGGGCCAAAGACTGTGTACTATAGTACAGTGACTTTGGCCAAATTTTGTAAAAAAATGACTCGTAGAGAATTCTCCATTTTTATAATTTTATCTAATGCATATACATGTTTTTATGTTGCGTAGAAAGTTTGAGCTCATTCCAATCAAGTTTGAATTTTTTACGAATTTTTAAAGTTCCTTCAAAATCGGGCCAAAGTCCCTGTACTATATAGTGCAGGGTATTTTATCAAAAATGGCTACAAGAGGTGTACATAATGAACATTAAAAATAATGTGAAATATGAAATTACTATAATACAAGTATTACTGTATGCATAGGTAACGTTGATGAAGGATATGCCTTGCTTAAAGACATGGCCCCGACCATTCCACTGGAGTATATACTCAAAGCTGTGGCATTGACTTTAGTTGGCCAAGAACACAACTCTGTAAGTGCATGCATCCTAAAACTAAATGACAACAATAATTATTGCTATACTATTGTAATTTAATCATTATTAGTCTGAACATCTCAAGTTAGCTCAGCAGTATTTCCAGTTGGTAGGGAGTTCTGTCAGTGAATGTGGTACGCACTAAGAGAGAGAGACATCTTTCTAATACAATGTTGTGATGATTTTCATCTCATTCCACACTATAGACACCATACCTGGTCGTCAGTGCATGATATCCTATTTATTCCTAAGAGAGGAGTATGAGAATGCTATGGTATACCTCAACTCAATCAAAGTACTATATATATATATATATATATAGTCATTGCTACCAATACACTCCAATAATAATTATTATACATTGTCCCATTCTTACTGTAGGGATTTTTCTTTAACGAGGATACGTTTAATTTTAATTTTGGACAAGCAAAAGCAATGTTAGGCCAATATGCTGAAGCCCAAGAGGTTAGTATTGAATAATCAAGAGAGTAATTTGGTCATGCAGTATTGTGATAGATACTTTATGTACAATTGAGTGTTGTGCATCATAAAATAGCCTTTTGTCTTTATCCAGGCATTCTTACAAATAGCTTCAGAGACACTCAAGAATAATTATTTATACATTAGCTGGCTTGCTCGATGCTGTGAGTTGCTATTGCAGTCATAATAATTTTTTAAAAATAATTCAGACATTATGAACAGGAAGCCTGAGAAAGCATGGGAGCTCTACATGAAAATGGAGACTACAGCAGAATCTTTCAATCTGCTACAACTCATTGCAAATGACTGCTACAGAGTAAGCAGTGAAAAGTAGCATACATGTACACATGCACTTCAATCCACACATTAATGGACACTGTGTCTGTGTAGTATGTACCTATGGCTATAGATTCGGGTAGAAATCTACTACTAATCTTTGACACACTAAAATGGACACCAAAATGTTCACTAGCTACATAATATATGATTTTATCTCTAATCTCTAGATGGGCCAGTTCTTGCATGCAGCACAAGCCTTTGATCTATTGGAGCGTCTTGACCCATGCCCCGAGTATTGGGATGGTAAGAAAGGAGCTTGCATTGGAGTATTGCAGCTAGTAATAGCTGGCCAAGAGCCACAGCATTCACTGACAGAGATAGTCCAATTGCTACAGAGGACTCAGCAGCCACAGGCTGAGCTCATATTGAAAGCCATCAGTAAATGGGTAAGGGACACACGGATGCTCTCACCTCAAAGATAAAGGACAAGTGCAAAACCACATCTGTATCTCGCTCACTCTTTTAAATCAAAATTTTTGAAAAAGAGAATAATTATTCATAAATTATTATTATTTCGTGTCCCGTAACAAAGTGACAACTATTTCTTCTTCCCAGGTAGCAAAATGCCCTCATACTATAAGCAATACAAATAACAATAAAGAGAGATACTTTAATGTCACTCACTTTTTGTTGAAACCATTTCATTGTTTCATCTTTAGTCACACGGTGCCTGAAACCAACCTTGCCTCTCTTCCTCTTTCGCTCCGCCACTCTATACCCTCTCCTTCCCATTACTATGTAAAAGTCCATGCCATATATACCAATGGTCGGATCATATTTGATGCCAAGATCAATGTGCTCTTGTATGCCAAAACCAAAGTTTCCCGTGTCAGAGAAGTTCTCTTTGTACAGCTCGTACTCTTTCACTCGTAGGCCCTTCTCTATAATCTCTTCTGCTTTGTCTCCTCTCACAGTGCAGTGAACGGCTATCTTCTCATTACGACGAATACCAAATGAACGAACAGTGTAACGAGCTACAAAAAAAAAACAAAATAATTTATAATAGGACTGTGCAATTAGCATAAATACTGTAGGTATCTGTGTGTGTTTAGGACTAAGAGAAAGGGTGTGAAATTTTGGAAAGTTAAAATTTTATTATAATAAATTAAATGTCATTCTACCTTTAGAATAAACTGGACCCTGTCCAGTCAAGGCTTCTAAGACTTTAGCTGCTCTTGTAAGCCTGTCTCCACTCTCACCCACACAGATATTGAGACAAAGCTTCCTTATCTGTAAATCCCTCATGGGATTCTTCTCCTTCTTTTCTGCACGCTTCTATAGATAATATAGGATTAAAGGAAGATGTCAGTTAGTTTCAAGACATGTTGAATGGACAGGGGAAGAGATGGAGAAGGATAAGTATTGTTCACTTACCGTCGGCATGGCTGGTCCTGCTTTGCCTTAATCTCGAAAGAACACACCCTTCTCATTAGTATTCATTTTATAAGGACTCAAAAAAATATAATGGTGTACTTATAAAAATTAAAATAAAACTACTATAAATTGTAAGCAACTATGAAAAGTCTCTAGGCTAGAGCTTTATCTTTGATGCAGTTAGCTGAACAATTTCTATCAGTTCCTCCTTTGGTAGTGATAGAAAATCCTCCGACTTAGTCACTTCTGCATAATTTTGTGCAATAAACTCATAACACAGCTCCCTTATTGCCACTAAACAAAAGAAAGTATTATATAAAATAGATGGGGAAAGAAAAAATATTTCTCTGAGACAGTTACAATTCATATAACTCCCACATACTTAGGCTGTCTCCCTTAGAGACTGCACTCAGTACAGCTAGGACTGTATCAACTGAGAGATGATCTGGGATCCGTGACATGCATATCACCTTCAGGTCATCCATGCTAAACATATCTGCCACTAATAAACAATAAAACACAAGCTGTACCTTCCATTTTTAATGATTTTTTAAAGCTTACATTTCAGTAGATCAACTGTCACTACAGGGCTGCATGTTAATTCTCCAGTATAAATATATTCTAAAAGTGAGAGGAATGTATCATGCTCAACATCTTCAATGACAATTTCTTCCTATAAAGTAACACAATACTTGAAAGACATGTAGCTAATAGTTAACATAGCTATATGTATACCATTTTAGATTCTTTCATGTTATGTGAAAACATCGCCATGAAGTAATCTGATCGTGACACAAGGATAGCCTTGTGGGCCAAAATTCTCCTCTTTTCTACAAGAAAGCAAACGTCAGAGAAAACATCTGAATTGATCAGCTTTCTCATGTCACTTGACAAGGAATTGATTGGTATTGGAGCTATGAAAACAATTATAAATCATTTTATGATTTAAATTTTAATTGAACATATGAAGACTAATCCGCTGTCCTGATATCTTTACTGCATCAATTTCACACCACGACCTTGCAGCTGAGCAGTCAATATCAATCCGTAGTCTATTGCTTTTAAAATCAAGTTTCTATATACATAAATAGAATAAAATCACGGAATAATAAAACAATTAAAGGTGTAACCTTACTTCAATCTGTGGCTCAAATATTCTGCTTTTGGTAATGACAGTTGGTAAGCCGTGATAGATTGATACGTAAGATTGCGATGATGGATTCCAAGCACCAACGCTTGTAACTGCACCGCAATGATAGGTCTCATATATACTGACCTTTAGAATGAATAGTTCCATAGGAAACTCAACCTAATTAAAGAGTATAATTTTGCTTTTTTAGCTATACTGAAGGCACTGATGCATGAACATACTTCAATAAATTCTGTTCCACCGGTTCTACGAGGAGCCCACGAACCATTTCTATCTCCATAGTTTGGATAGACTTTTGGCTCACCAATAACTTGATCTGCACTCCATCTATAATTTAGAAAAATATGAAGTTATTTGCTGTGCTAGCCTGCTGCTGCATCATGCATTCTTTTATACTGACCCATTAGAGTCGTACTGTGAGGAGTATGCAAGGACTTTAGATCTGGTCTCTTCTTTTTACCTTTGGTTGCAGGATCAGTTGCTGCTGCTGCTTTCTCCTTTCTTCTCAACATAGTGGCGTTGTAAAAAATGAACCGCATATGTTTTAATTTATCACTGAAGCCCCACCCTGCTGACACGCCTAGAAATTATTTTCGATTTCATAATGGGCTTAAATAGATACACACAGGAGGCGAGATCAGCATTCAACCATCCACCATCAACATTCAACCGTCCTTTCAATGTCTGGAATAGCTTTAGGAAGACTCACAGAAGAAAGAAAAGCATGGAGAAAAGACCATCCTTTTGTAAGTAGTAAAAAGTAACGTCTTTGTTCAGTACAAAGTATATTATGTTTGAATTATAAGGATTGGTAATTCTAAATTTAGGGATTTATTGCTAAACCTGTCAAAAACCCTGATGGCACATTGAACCTAATGACATGGGAATGTGGTGAGTAATGAATTTTTACATTAAAGTAGATGAGCATTAATAATTATTCAATTGCTAATGATCATGCTACTGTGTGACAACCATAATTTTACCATTATACAGCTATGAGGGACATTGTATGTACATTTGATTCATTGTGTGCATGTATGTGTGTGCCTTTAGGATGTGGTTGGCATAAATTAGAAAGCTTAAAGCATAAAAGAAAAAGTTTAGTAGTAGTATGATTTAACTGTGCATGAATTTTAATGTAAAAAACTTACATAACTTGACACTAGTCCCCCCACTTGTTTATATATACGTAGGTATCCCTGGAAAGAAGAATGTAAGTTTGTTTGAAGCTCTCTTTCTTTCTCTCTCTCTCTTCATCTTTCTCTCATGTCTAAAATCTTGACACTTCCTTTGTCTCTCTCGCTATAAGTAATTTATAATTTTGACTATGTATCATTTCTAGACTCCATGGGACGGTGGTTTATATCGTTTAAGACTAGTATTTAAAGACGATTATCCGACTTCGCCTCCAAAATGTGAGTCTCTAATCTTTGTTGTGCCCATGTACATATCTTGTATCTTGTTTATTATAAAGGTAAATTTGAACCTCCTATATTTCATCCAAACGTTTATCCATCTGGTACTGTCTGTCTTTCACTTCTTGACGAAGACAAAGACTGGAGACCAGCTGTGACCATAAAACAAGTAAACGATAAGTTTCGTATTTCTTTGAAGCCCTCACTTGCTGTGTAGATCCTTTTAGGAATACAAGACCTCTTGGATGACCCAAATATCAAGGATCCAGCGCAAGCCGAAGCTTACTCAATTTACTGGTTAGTTTTTTTAACTCTCTTCTTCTTGTCACCTCTCTATTCCCTCTCCCCTTCATGTACCACTACAGTCATAATAGAGCAGAGTACGAGAAGAGAGTTAGATCCCAGGCGCAACGATACGCCGTCAAATAGATCTCTATTCTTTATACAACCATCTCCCATGTACTTTATGTCCTGACTTGATTCTATCTTTATTCGTGTACTTTGTGTGTGTTTTCTTTAATAATTTGAAGGAATCATTCAGCATTTGTGTTGCAACATAACAATAAGCATGATTGTTTATATAAAATTAATGTGAATATTATGCACATCTTTTAAACAAGGCAATGAAAATAAATGCACTGGTGGGGGTTGTAGTATTTTTAATAATAAATTCAGTCAAAATGTCACTTAGATGCGAGTGGATCAAATGATTCCCAAAGCTCTTCAAATTGTTTCAAAAACCCTCCGAGGTATCCCACGTCATCGGTAATGATAACATTCTCATAATTGCCATTTAACCCTTGCCTGGTCCAATTGAGTGACCCAGTGATAAGAAGAGAACGATCGATGATTGCAAATTTGTGATGCATTAGATAGCTGGATGACATATTTGTACGGACTTGCACTCCTCCCTTTCTTAAAGTAGCTATCTGGACGTAACTCTCCTCGTTGTCGGTAATGACACGTACAGGGACTCCTCTTTTGTGGACTGAGAGTATGGCCTCGAGGAAGTCTTTGCCATTCAAGCAATAGACGCATATGTCAAGACTATGACTTGGTAAGGAGGAAATGAGGTTTAGAAGAGTAGAGGCATTATGTCCACTCTTGTCTGGGAAGAAGAGATGCTTTGGAGTCACTATCCTTTTCTTCTTTCTCTTATTCTTTGTCTTCAACAAGAGTATGACCGACAGGGTGCCGAAACAAACTAGAGAAAAGAAAAATAATAAAGATCTGGTCGGAGGAGTGCCAGCCATTAGACACCACGTGGGTCAGTTTGCATAGTTTTCTATGGGATATGGGAGGAGCTATGGTGGCTCTAGCTTTAAAAGGTGGATTTTTTGCTTTTTACTCTAAATTCTACTAATAATTTACTAGATCTTGGTCATAGTGGTCTGCTCCAGCAGGATCAGGCGATTTTTCCTCCCAATTTAATGGCCGAAAGTGAGCAAGAATGCCTTGACACAGTCGTTAAGTCTGGAAGCGTACTAGCACCATGGCTAGGAGTTAACTGCACTCTTCTCCTCAAACAAGATTCACTTGCCTGCGTCTATCCAGAAGCTACAGCTGCTGGTAGCCCTCCTCCTCTTCCAATTTTTGCTGTGAAATTAGAAGATGTCGTTGGCCTAAAGATACTACAAGACTCTCCTTTCTCTTCCAGCCCAAGCGTCTGTAGAGCAGAGCTATGCACGTATCAGAAAGTGAAGCGTTTCATATCAAGCAGCTACTATCGAAAATTCTCCACGGAAATTCTAGAGTTTTCAGATGCGAAGGACTTCGAAACAAACTACAAAACAGCAAAAGAGTGGAGAGAGTCCATTCAGCTCCAGTGTAGGAAAAACAGCAGGAATTTGTTTGTCTTTTCTCCTGAGCAAAGTAATAAGGGAAATTGTGGCTAATGTAGCAAATGTTTATTTGGCTGTTTTCCTTTCAGTTGACAGATTAGAACCAATGCAATTGCTTGTTATCATAAACCCATTCTCCGGTAGGAAGAACGGCCAGAAACTATTTCAAAACATTGCTCGTCCGATGTTTGACTTAGCAGGTGCTGTTATTGTCCAAGAGGTTATTACTGGTCAGTACAAGTCACTAATATCATCAATAATGTTGTTGTTTCCTTTACTGCGTCAACAGAGAGACAGGGACATGCTAAAGAGTTTGTGGAAACCTTTGATTTGACGTCTATTACTGGAATTGTCCTTGCTTCGGGTGACGGGATTGTTTATGAGGTAAAAAATACATTTTAAACACTTTCCTTAGCTTAATTGGTTGCTATTATAATCATGGTTTAAAGGTTATAAATGGACTAATGGCCAGGCCTGACTGGGAAACAGCTATAAAGACTCCAATTGGACTGATACCTACTGGATCAGGGAATGCACTAGTGTCATCACTGCTTTATGAAGCCGAGTAAGAGACAATACTTGCTATTGTGTCTGCTATTGTATCCCTTTCTGTATTCTGCTTGTTATGATCCTTGTATCCAGTGAATGGCATGATCCTCTGAATGGCATGATTAGTCTTATGATCTGTCTTATCTCTTTTCATATCATGTGTGGTTTCTTTGATTGGGGTATTATCAGTATAACTATACCTACACAATACACTGTTTTTGAATCACAGATGGATTATGTAATGTACACTTATATCTGCTTTCCAGTAAACATGTGTAGGTACATGTACATGCTCAATTTGTGTGTGTTTATTATGAGGATGATTTGTATGTGTATCTAATACCTTTTATGGCTATGGAATGTTATGCTTGATAGTAAACAGTGCTATAGCATTACATGGATCGCTAGCTGTTTATTTTTGATCCATACTTTACAAATTTAAATATTTCCTTTTAGCTATTTTTGATACAATAGTACTGGATCTTTTGCTTGATTTTGGAGCAAACTAAAAAATTTGTAAAAAAATCTAATTTCAATCATAATCAGTTTAAAGCTATAATTTTAATGCATATTGATGTCCTTATGCTATGTAGCAAGCTTGAGCTGATTCCGACAAATATTTTTATAGTTACGACCATTTTTAGAAAATGCCAAAATTCTGACAAATACCCAAGGCTATAGCCCATGGTTTTTTCCAAAAATTGGCTCCGAAATCACCCCCAATTTTTATTACATTTTCTGATACATATTGATGTCCTTATGCTGTGTAGAAAGTTTGAGCTGATTCCGACTTTAATTTTTCAAGTTACAGTCATTTTAAGAAAATGCCAAAATTCTGAAAAATACCCAAGGCTATAGCCCATGGTTTTTCCCAAAAATGGCTCCAAAATCACCCCCAATTTTTATTACATTTTATTATACATATTAATGTCCTTATGCTATGTAGCAAGTTTGAGGTGTTTCTGACAAATATGTTTTCAAGTTACGGCCATTTAAAAAATCTGCCAATTTTTAAAGGTTTTTAAAAATCTGGCTCCAAAATTACTATTGGAGCCGGTTGTAGTAGCAAGTTGCAATGAACTATTAATTTATATAATATTATCTCCACATTATCTAAAGAGAAGAATCTTCTCTCTCTCTCTTGTTCTTTAGTGAAGAGAAGGCAGTGATAGAGAACGCTGTATTCCAGATTATAAATGGAGGCATCCAAACGCATGACATAGCCTCAGTCTCGACTGGCTCCTCCCACTCATACATGGGCGTACTGATACACTGGGCACTGACTGGATCAGTCGACGTAGAGTCTGAGAAATTGAGAATCCTTGGAGGTGAACTCCGTACTATAGTGGGCGGGCTGATAAGCATAATTATGAAGAGAGGTTATCAAGGCCAGCTAAGCTACTTACCTATTGATGAAGAATCCTCGGTAGCTGCTACAGAGAGGGATACTTCTAGTGGAGAAGCAGCAAGACCAACGACAAGTATTAGTGTTTCTGATCCTATACCTGATAACTGGAAAACCATCGAAGGCAATTTCGTGATGTTTATCGGTCTAATGCTATCACACATGAGTGACTCCATAATGGGTCATTCTGATATTAAGATTGGCTCGGGCGAGCATAGGATAGTCTATGCTTTCGATGACGTCACAAGAGCACAGCTTTTAACGGGCCTAGTCGGCTCGCCTAACACTGCTAAATACGACACATTTCATGAGATTCGTACGAGAGCATTTCGACTTAATCCGATATCTCCTGGCTTTATAACCGTCGATGGAGAGCTGGTAGATTACGGTCCTATACAAGTACAAGTCCATCCTGGAATGATGAGACTTTACTCACGTATTAAGAAATGCAATCAATCACTTGACTAATGTAGGTAACACATTCATTCATGCATAACACAGACTTGATACTCACTTGTTAATAATTGTTATTCATCCTGTGATCTAGTATATTATCACTGCATTTACTCAGATTACAGTCTTAATATTTAAAATCACTGCATGAATTTATTATTATTATTATTATTATTATTATTATTATTATTATTATTTATTTTACTAATAAGCTTGTTGTTTTGTAAATAATAGATTTAAAATCAGTTTTATTAATTTTAATATTTTAATTTCACAAGGCGGAAATAATGCAATAATAATGTACTCTTCACACAAAGAGCTTTCAACATCACCTTCAACCATGTCCCGGGTAATATATCAAGGAAAGACTTGTAGATTTGTCTTTGGAGAGGACGCCCTGACTATCAGAGAAGACAATGAAAGAGCCGAGTGTCTCCTATCCGTCTTGTATGAAGATGTAATTGGTCTAGAAGTTCCCCTTGCTCTTGATGGCCATGCTTGTTATACAGAGCTTCATATTTATCAGAAGAGGGATCCCTCGGCTCTTGTCAGTGATCGCTTATATCTTAGAGAAGTCCTGGAGTTTTCAGAATTCGAAAATTTTAACACCAACCACAGAGCAGCTATGGAGTGGAGAGCTGCTATCCAACTGCAGAGGATGAGAAGGAGCAAGAAAATATTTATTAACACTCCAGAGCAAAGTAAGGCCCTGGGGTTTATGCACCGTTGCTTTATTAGCAATCGCTGCTTTCTCTTTTAGTTGAAAAACTAGAGCCACTTCGCCTTCTTGTCATCATAAACCCGTTCTCTGGTAAGAAGAACAGCGAGCACTTGTATCGCGGTATTGCTCTACCAATGCTTGAGGTAGGGGGTGCCACCATTGTAAAGGAACTTGTAACAGGTTAGCCCTTGTATAGTCACTGGCAGCCTTATTTGATTAATCTTGATTTGTTTATCTTAATAGAAAGACAAGGGCATGCCAGGGAATTTGTGGAAGCCTTTGACTTGTCATCTATCACAGGAATTATATTGGCTTCTGGTGATGGTATTATATACGAGGTATTATAATAGTTATTATGAACTGCATGGCTACTATAGACATCCATTGAATGCAAGGAGCTGCTTATTAGTTATGAATGTGTGATAGAATAGCAGCAGATTATGTGATACTTTGCATGATATGAAGTGTTTTTATGGTGAATAATAAAATTGAAAGCTATTACTTCTAACATAACTTGTTGTGAAAGAGACGATCATATTTAGTTTTGAGATATTATTATTCTGATTTTTGTTGCTGGATAAAATGAGAATGTGGGTTATAGTGTATTGTTTTTATGTTTCATGTTAATTGTAGTCCAACAAGGTACAGATGGCTTAGCATTGTGGTCATTTGATGTAACATATAGACTCTTCCAATCCTACATTTGTTGCTAAAGAAACCACATTATTTTATTATTATTATTATTAGTTTATGATTTAAGAGGAATTTTAGTTATAGCAAAGGAATGCCCCAGATCAGTACAAAGTTCACTTTTGTGGTTTAGATAACCATGAAGAACTGTTAATATTTCCTTTTTGTAGGTTATAAATGGACTAATGGCCAGGCCTGACTGGGAAATAGCTATAAAGACTCCAATTGGACTGATACCGACTGGATCAGGGAACGCACTAGTGTCATCACTGCTTTATGAAGCCGAGTAAGAGACAATACTTTATAAAAACTAATTCATGTTTATATTTGTGTGTGTATTTGTTTTAGTGAAGAGGTACACACGTGTGCTATAGAGAATGCAGTCTTCCAGATTATCAATGGAGGCATAAAGCAACATGATATTGCCTCGGTTTGTAACAGCTCCTCCCACTCATATATAGGAGTTGTTATTCACTGGGGAATGACCGGAATAGTGGACGTTGAGTCTGAGAAACTAAGGTTTTTAGGAGGCAAATTACGTAATTTAATAGGAGGGCTGGTTTGCATCGTAATGAAGAGGTCGTACTATGGTCAGTTAAGCTATTTGCCTATTGAAGAAGATGAAACTAAGTCACCATTAACTGAAGCTGAAGGCAGCATACATTCTACTAATACTCTCAAACCAACAACAGATGTTGGTGTTTCTGATCCAATACCCGAGCACTGGAAAACCATCGAAGGGAACTTTGTCATTTTTATGGCTCTCACATCATCGCACGTAACAGAGAACGATATGATGTGTGCGGAGACAAAAACCGGCTCTGGAAAGTTTAAAATCCTTTATACTTTTGATGACGTTACAAGAGGCCAACTGCTAGCAAAGTTGTCCGAAAGTACCGGTGCAGTCAAGATAGAGAATTTTCACGAGATTCATACAAGAGCATTTCGTCTTAATCCGATATCTCCGTGCATCATAACCGTCGATGGGGAACAGATAGACTATGGTCCTATACAAGTACAGATGCATCCTGGAATGATGAGACTTTACTCGCGCGTCAGGTGTGAGTAGCAGCAAAATACTATATGTATACATGCATGCACATTCACATTTCTAATCATTGTATCATTTATTGTAATTATTTTTGCTGATCAAACTTGCATAGTATAAATTATTCATTCTTCATGCCACCTTGTAAACTTAATTTGTTATTTTTCTATGTATATTATCTGATTTTTTGTAATATTCTTTCATCACTATTCATTAAACTGAAAATGTGCAGTTTATTTACAAAATAAAATGTGACACGTTTGATTATGAATGTCATAACTGTCTACAGTCAGCTATACGCCCACCCCACGCAATAAAGAGGCGGGTCCAGACTGACTATTTCCTTTACTCTATTATTTATGCTTGCACATATTTCTAATCACTGTATCATTTTGCTGATCAAAGCTTGCATAAATAATTCATGCCACTGTATAAATTGTAATTTATTAGTGCAGTTTATTTAGTAAACAAAATGTTTCATTATTAATGCCCTAGCTTACAAAACTGTCCTACAAGAAAATCGTTGATTTATTGAAGTTTAAGCTTCTATATTATCTAAAGAATTTTGAGACTGGCAAAGGCACATTCTACATTCAACTCAGTGATGACTAACAACCAACAATGTGTGTGCAATTCTGTGCATCACAGCTATTCTACAGTAGACCTAAGTCTAAAAGACAAATTAAGCTTACTAAAGAATGATGGGTGTATCAAATATGTATGCGGTAGCCTATGAATATCAATACAGGTTCACATAAACACTGAATTTAGCAAAGCCAAATGCTTCCTCAGTCTACATCTGACAAAGTGGGAATAATGATACACTGCACCCTGATCCATACTAAAAGTTCTCAGAAAAAAATCAGTAACCTATATAGCAGACAGCTATTATGGTAATTTCTCTCTCCTTCTTGATAAACATACTTCCTCAAGTCTATAAGAAGTTTGGGAGATTAAGTGTAAAAAAGCAATATGAACACTAATAATGTGTGTGCATCACAAGTCTAGATCTAAAACTTACCATAAAACATACTAATATACATGCTTCTACAAAAACTACTAAATACTGTATATATAATACTTCTAACATTATGTGCATAATGTTATACTTCGTGATCTCCTTCTAGTGAAATGCATCTCTCTTCTAGTGCTGAATGTTCATCTATGTCATTGGCCATATTTTCTATTTTTTTTTGTGTGTCGTTTAAAAAAATTATTTGCCCATCAAACCACGTTGTAGCCTTAGTTTCTGATCTATTGTACAGCTTGACGGAATTATATATCAATTCACCGAGATCTAATGGCACAGTGAGGACAGTAACTACTCCTCCTACTATAGCGACACCTCTTGCTGCTGCTCCAGTCACTCTTAATGCAAATGCACCACCATGAATTGCTGATCGAGCTACTTGTACTCCACTAGTTACAGCATTAGCAGTAACAGCGATAGTTCTCAGTAACTGGCGACCTTGAAGTACAACAGCAACAGCTTCTTCTCTACTAGTAGCAGGATTATCTCTTATTGCTTTGTCAACAAATCTTTGCAAGAGAATTTCGTTCACTTGCTCTGTTAGCTGTATGTCAACATTTAGTATAGCTTTGGCTTGTTTGAGTTTAAGCTCAGAAACCCTTTTGTCAGTTACAGTAGAAGCTATTGTAACTGCCCCACCAGCTACTCCTACACCAGCTCCTATAACAGATAATGCTATTGAACCTCCAAAAGTGACTGGTATCAATCCAATACCAATTACTGCTAAGCCCCCTCCTACCAATGATGTAATAGATCCAGCAATTCTTGACTGACGGACATTTTGACATATAGAAAAGATTTTCTGTTGGTCCTTTTCCAGCTTTTCGACAGTTGCTTTTCTCAGTTTAGATAGAACACTGAGAGCTAATCTCAATTTAGCATCACATTGCTTCTCTTTATCAGTACTATGATATAAAAGAATAATTATAATCAAGCCAAATATATCATGCATGCTTACTCTCTAGGTGTAAGATCCCAGAAATGCAGTGGATTTGCCAAAACGTCTTTCATGGTAAATGTAGGATCATTAGCACTAGCAAATGCAGCCAATGATTCTTGAATAGTAAATTGAATACTCAAACTCGTAATCAACGTAAGTATGGGTTTTCTTTCAACTGGAAAACTCCCAAAGTAGCTAGCAATGAAAGTGTGAGGAACATCAGTGAATTCTGGTTGCACATCATTTGGTTCATTCAACTGTGTCTCAGTAAAGAACAGCTTAGGCTTCTCCTCTAATGAAGAACAAGCATTGCGAGAGAACAGCATCACTAGATCATTCACTCCCAGCTTCTTTCCATCACTTCCATAGATCACCTTCTCCCTTTCTCCCTTGCTAAGAACAATAAGTACAAAACAGTATTGCTCAGAGTGATCAACTGTGGCTACTGTCTTCAGAAGGTGCTTTATTCCTTTGCGAGTTAGAGAACTGTATACTTGTACATGAAATCCAAGCTGATCTGAAAATACTTCTCTCATTTTTTTAATGTTTTCATCATTGTACTTCTGAGTGTTGTTGTTGATTATGATGCAATATCCTTGAGGAATCTTGGGGTCTTGACTCACATGATAGGTGCCTATTTAAACACATAAAATGTACAGTTACAGTTCATTTACCTGTTACACTATGTCTAGAGCTTGTGTC